AGGTGCTGTGGCACTCCTCATTCTCACCAGCCCTCCTGGATCCAGTACAGGCCAGGTGAGACAGAGAGCAGCCGCCTGGACATTTGCCTGAACCAGGAATGGTGGGCTTGCATCCCGCTTTCCTTTTTCTCTCCCACAGGCAGAGTCCAGCAGGCAGATGACACCAAGCGGAACTTTCAGCAAGAGTGGCTAGAGCTATTTTCATTTATGTGCATTTGTCTTTGCCTTTGCCTTACAGCTCAGCTTCCTGGAGCATGCATGCTGAGGACTCCAGGGGTGAGCGGAAGGCCTTGAGCCGGTAAGTTTAATTGCTACAGAAAGGGATCAACACAGCCAAAGCCAAAGGTTGGGCTCAGGTTAAGTAGGGTTTGTGGCACCCTGGGACCTTTCCCCAGTGTGGCCACTAGGAGGCGCTTTGGGACTTTCTCTTAGCCAGTGGCTCCAGAAGTTACACCCAGCAGGTAGGTCGGTGTGATGACAGGAGGGTTTAGGGTTCTTGTATTTCAAATACCTTAAGGCATAAAGCCCTCCGTTCCAGAGAAGACATAAAGGGGAGAAATGTCTTAGGGTTTTTATTGTTGTGACAAAGCATCATGAGCTGGGTGGGGAGGAAAGAGTTTACTTGGCTAGCACTTCCACAGGACTGGTCATCACTGAAGGAAGTCAGGACAAGACTCAAAGAGGGCAGGGTCCTGGAGGCAGAGCTATGGAGAGGTGCTGCTTACTGGCTTTCCAAGGCTTGCTCAGTTTTCTCATAGAACCCAGAACTGCCAGCCCAGGGCTGGCCCCACCCATCATGGTCTGGGCCCTCTCCCACTGATCACTAAGTGAGAAAAATGCAGCTGCATCTCATGGAGGCATTTCCTCACTGAGGATCCTTCCTCCTTGATGACTCCGGCTTCCGTCCAGTGGAAGAAGCCAGCCAGTGCTGGAGGGCTTGGGGTAAAGGGAAAGAAGCAGTGGAGGGGCAGTGTTTCTTCTGAGTGTTGGCGCTGGGCCGGGAGGGAAGCGGCACCACAGACTCAAGGTCAGAGAGCAGACTGTGTGCTGTGATGCTGGGGAGAAGGGGAAAGCTCTAGAGGAGGGTTCAGAGCTCATTCCCCTGTGAAGGAGCGTGGCGGGTGGGTTGCAAGTCTTGTGCTTTGAGACGCCAAGGCCTGTCAGAGTGGCTGCTTACACTACGCATCACTTCCTCCCACATCAGGAAACACAGGGTCACATTTACCAGCAACACACAGGAATGTGGGGGAAATGTGTGTGTGCACACACAAACATTGGTGCAGTGTCAATGAAGGCTGGTTTTGGCCATGGAATCCAAATTACTTTTATTGTCAAAATATTTTGGCAGCCAGGCATGGCAACCCATACCTATAAGCCATCCAATACTTGGGAGGTAGGAACGGGAATTGCTGCAAGCCTAGGCCTTCTGAGCTACGCACTGAGTATGAGCCTGTCTAGGGCTAGAGTGAGCTCTTGTCCAGTTCCTTTCCCTCCAAGTTTTCCTGCCTCTGAATTTGTCTCCTCTGTGTGTTGAATTTATTAAAAAAAAAAAAAAAAAATCCAACAGTGCTTTGCTTCCCGAGTGGAGAGGAGGCCCACATCCTGGCAGTAGACTAGGTTCCGCTCTGGCCCCTCTGAGCCCCGTGGCGTCCTCTTGTAGCCTGCTTTCAGCCTGGCTATGCTCCAGGAGTGTGGATAGACCCTGGGCTGGGTGCCTAACTCTCCCCTCTGTGAAACCAAGTCAGAGCCCTCAACCTGCGTTTTCTGCCACCAAGTTCTCCCACTGAGCACCCCTTCCTGACCTCCCCTGACATACTGGGTTGAGGAGAATTTTGGGACCCCACCTCAAAGTTGTGCTTCTCATTCTAGGAATCTGAGTTTGCCTGCCTCCTCCACCCCCGCCTTCCGGGTTCTGACTACGTTTCCTCCTCAGGGCAGTTGGTTCGCAGAGGATTCCATCTACAAAGCACACACTGCTGAGCAGCAGCTGACAAGGTCAGCGTGAGCCACCACGAACCCTCTCTTACTGAACCCCCAGTCTCCCAATCCAAGGAAAAAAAAAAGCACTCCCGGGAGCTATTCAAGCAACTAAAGATGCTCCCGGATACACAAATACGAATGAAATTCTAAACGTGTACACAGGAGCCAGGTACACTCACCAGGTCCATGACCACAAGGACACACATACAAACATGATGTGCACATACGTGAGAAGGCAAGGGCCCACATGCAAAGCTCATGTGTATGTAAAAGCAGGGCTGTATATCCACCAATTCTAGAGATTTTTTTTAGCATGTTCTAAAGGCCATGTTTGGTGTCAGGCTCTTGGGCTGGCAAAGCCACTCACAGACCCCCTCCACAGAACCATCTGCCCTGCAAAAGGGACGGAGGCAGAACCCAGAGGCTGGGAGTTGAGCAAATTCAGAGGTGCCTCCAGTGTGCTCGGTGGTTCACGTTTCCCGGAACACAGTTACAGACAGAAGAGCATCTGCCTTCCTGCTCTCCTTTAGACATCACCCGACTCCTCGGGGAAGGCTGTGACTGAAGCTCAGGGGAGAGCTGGTCTCAGGCCTTGTTCGTTGCCCAACTGACTTCCGTTTCCTATCCTGTGACTATGGTTCTCTATGGCTTCTGGGGCGATGGTCCAGATTTTTCCTAGTCCACGGTTCCCAGGGAACATGACTGGGGGTGCTTTTACCTTCTACGCTGGCCCCTGGTATGAAAAGTCTTGCTCACATCCTTGACTTTTAAGCAGTTCTTAGAGACAACATTAAAAATCACCCATTAATCCGTGACTCCTTGGGGGTAGTTTCACTAATGTAAAATGTGGTTTTTATTGAAATACTGTTTGTCAAGATATTTCTGGATACAGAAACAGCATGCCCCAAATGCCAGGGCTGGATAGGACCTTGAGGGTTTCCAGTGGAAGGGTTTGAAGCTCGGAGGGCGGTCCAGGGGCTATGAAGATGTTGAAACGGTCCCCTGAGCAACAAGCACAGCACTGCTGCCTCCAGAGGGAGGCTGGAAGGTACACGTGGCACCCATTGGTCTCTGAGGAGCTGCCACCAACCGTCTGTTTTAGGACAGCCCATCTCCCCTTAGCAGACAGCCTGAAGCCTCAAGCTGAGCTAACACCAGAATTTGGAACAGGAAGCCCTTGGAATCTCACTGTTGTTACCATGGTGCCCACAACTACCCCTAGGAAGCCAAAGGCAGGTTCTCCCCAGCAAAGCATCTCATCCCACAGGAGAAAGGGGTGAGCCCCAGGTGTCATGAGAGCTTTCAAGATTCAGGCTCAGAGAGTGGCCAGCCTCCAGCTCTGCCTTGATTCAGAGACCAGTGCAACAAGCTTTCCTCCACTCCACACGCAACCACTGTGAACAGCCGAGGGCAGCAGGACTCCAGAAGGGTAAGCAGGACCGGCACCTCACCCGTTGCAGAGGCCAAGGGGTCACCTAGTGATGGGAGCTGCTTGCACGCACCTCCACCAGGGCAGGGAGGCGGTTCAGAGGTTCCTGGCTCTGAAGGGCTGCAGACAGCTTTCTCACCAGAGGACCCAGGAAGCAACAACTAAAGCTCACTGTACATCTCAGAGCTGTTGAGATGGCCCTGGGATTCAAGGCCAGCTAGTAAGACCCTTGAGTAAGAGAAACAGAAGCTGGGTGGCTGCCTCTGAGCTGAACTGAGTCTTCTATGTGGAGGAGGGCCCGGCAGGAGCATTTCTTTGAGTGCTGAGCAGCTCTGCATGAAGTCCACCTGGATCACTCTCCTCTCCTTAGATACCTCTGGGCCACACTGAAGACTCGGAGGTTTTGTCTGGAAGAGTGGAGAGCAGACAAGGGTTTTAGCTAGAGAGGTGGAGGTCATTCTGACTTCAGTATGAAAAACAGGTCAGAGAAGCAGCTGTGTATTCTGTGGGGGTGGGCCAGACACGTGGGAACCCAGCCATGAACAGAAACATGTGTGTGTGTGTGTGTGTGTGTGTGTGTGTGTGTGTGTGTGTTTGTGTGTGTTATATGTAGGGTATGTATGTGATATGTGGTGTATGTGGTGTGTGTGTGTGTGTATGTGGTGTGTGTGTGTGTGTGGTGTGTGTATGTGGTCTGTGTGTGTATGTGTGTGTGTGGTGTGTATGTGTGTGGGAGATGTATGGGGAGTGTGTGTGTGTGTGTGTGTGTGTGTGTGTGTGTGTGCTTGAGCAGAACCTAATGGAGACGGAGCATGGGGAACTGATTCATCCTCACAGGAGCCTCTGGCAAACCAGCCCTTCATGCTCATACCTGGGTCCCTGTCTGGATTCCTGGTCTCCCTGGGGAGCCTGAGCGTCCTTGTCCCGTGAGCACCTTTCAGTCAGTCCTGCCCTCCTCTCCCTAGAACTGTTGTGGCACACCATTAATCAGATTGGTGTCTGATGCTTGTAACCAAAACGCCCTGATTCATTCGGAACCAGCAGGAGAATGGGTGCTTTTGTCGGTCCGCCTTTCGTAGCCTTTAAATCCACCAGGCCCCGGCACAGCCCTGGCTCTTCCCACTGTTGTTGGCTAGCTGGTGAAGTCACCCCTTTAGTCTCCCGAGCCAAGTAAGGAATTACGTGCTCGCCCTACCTGCAGCCAGCTGTTGATCGTCGTCCTCTTGACAATGTGAGAAGCCCTACCTTCCTGCTCCCTCGGAGCTGCTTTTCGGATGCAATAGCACAGATCTAGGCATGGATGTCCCTCTTAGAACCCAGGCCTAAGGGTGCAGCTCCCTGCTAGAGCTTTTGTGTAGCATGAGGCCCTGCCTCCAACCACAGAACACACTAACGAAAAACCCAGATCCCCTCTGGCTTTGCTACATCATACAAGTTTGAGGCTTTCTCCTGATTCCTTCGTGGTAAGACTTGGATTGTTTAGGCCACTCTGCTCTAACATTCTGGCAAGACGCTGTGGAGACTTGTCTGATTTTAGGTCTTTGTCTCCCAGGTGCTTGTCCCTTTCCTCCTGTCATCTCCGCTATCATCCATGAAAATGATGAATCCGGTAAGTGGATCCTTCTGCAATAAGGCAGGCGGTGGCAGGGCTGGGGAGATGGCTGTCAATGCAAAACCCCACAATTCTCGCTGAGAAGTGGGTAAGGGGTAGTTTATTCTGGAGCCAAATAGAGGTGATGTTGGCTCAGGAACACAGATTCAGGTTCCTCTCGGTTCCATTTTCTAACATGGCAACACCTTCGTGACATGTTCTACTGACAAAACACAGGAAGTTACAAGCCAGCACACTGTCCGGTGCACTGGTGGGCGAGTCAGGTGGATGGGCCACAGCAACACGGGGTGGGGGGGACTCTGGGCAGCGGGTAGGGGTGTCACCTGATGGCATCTTGAGGTTTTAGGTTGTTAATACATTGCAAAACTGTTTCACTTGATAGTCACAAGGATGTGCCGTCACACACAGAGGCAGGTGAGGAACGTTTAGTAAGGGGACTGATGGTAGCCCAAGATAAATCGTCATTAGGCTCTGGGCCTGTACCATTCTATGTCATTGACATCCTCATCGGTTAATCGGCCTCAGAGAAGTGTCTTTCTAGGGAAACTTCCACTCACAGTGGCTCAGTCAGTGAAGCACTTACCACGAGAGACTGAGGACTTGACTTTGATCCCGCAGCGCCCAGAGAAAACCTGAGTGTGGGTGGAGCACCCCAGTGCCGGGGGTGGGAAAAGATGGGAGCATCCTGGGGCTTGCTACACAGCTATCCTTGCTGAATTGATGAGCTCTGGGTTCAGAGAGCCCTAAAAGCCTCTGAAACTCTTTAGTTCAGAAACTAAAAGGGCAATAAAGAAAGACACCCAGTGTCAAGCTCTGACCACACACAGGTTCTCACGCGCGCACACACACCACAGGAAGGCAAGCAGCACAGGGTTACAATGGGAATCCCGTGTTTTCACAAGGGCCAGGGCACGCAGCACCACTGAGGGCCTCAAGCGTTTAGATTGCTGCAGGGAAGGGCGAGTCCAGGCAGCAGGGCTCAGAAAGCAGACAGCAGCCCCACTACTGAGCCAACCCTTGCTTGTGCTCAGAACCTAAACTCAGTCCATAGCTTGACCACAACTAAACTCAACCCGCAGCTTACAGTCACCTAGCTAGGCAATGTGCTAAGACACGTTTCCGGAACCATTTTATTCTATCCTCTTAATAACTCTAAAAATAAGGTGGTACCATCATGGTCACCATCCTTGTCACCATTAATGTTACTGCTGCCACCACCATTGCCAATGTCATAGCACCATCACTATCATTGTCATTGCCATCACTACCATCTCAGTATTGACGCATCATCCTCACTAATGTCATTACCATCATCACTTTTACCCCCGTAACTACCATTAGCGCCAACACCACTATCATCATAATTACTGCCACTGTCATCACCATCATCATCACCACCATCATCACCACAACTACTACTATTGCCACCATAACCACAATTATCACCACAGTCATCATCTTTGTCACCATTGTCACTGAAGCTAATTCCCATTTTGAATGATGTCTGAGGGACTCAAAAGGTTAAGTGACACTTGCCCAGAGTTGCCAATCAGTAAGTGACAATAATAGAAATTGAACTCAGATCCCATATCCATATCTCCACTATTCTCTTGGTGCCTGAATGGCTTAGGATTGATGGCTTCCATTCCTATGGATCCCTCCTGGTGAGTTTTTCTTGCTATGTGTCTGAGTCATCAGTCTGGCAGTTGGATCCCTGGTGCTCTCTTCCGTTAAGGAGACTGTATGGATATTCCTGGCAGCATGATTCATAACAGCTAGAGGCAGGAACAGCTCAGATGTCATCAAGTGATGAAAGGATAAACAAACTGTGGCATCGTCACACAATGCAATATCCCTCAGCCTTGCAATGGAAGGAAGTGCTGATATGTGGGTGAACCTTGAAAACATGCCAACTGAACGGAGTCAGACACTGTGAGAGTCTACTCTTAGGATATCCAGAGTGAGCCAAGCTTTTAGTGGTCAGCAGCGGTCACCAGAGATCACCAGGGGAGAGGGTGATGGATGGGGAGCCTGATGGATACAGGGTCCTTTGGTGGGTGATGAAGATATTCTGGAGCTGGGTAGAGGTGATGGTTGCATAAGATTGTGGATTACTAAATGCCACTGAGCTGTATACCATAAATAAATAAGATGGCAAATCTTGTATTATGTATTTTATCAAAGAGAAAACTCTCTGTCCATAGTATCTCTCAAGATGATTTTAGGCTAAGTATTCAAAGAACAGTACTGGAAGCATAATACTGTTTTCTTAGCTACCTTCCAAACAAACAAACAAACAAAACAAAACAATTGTCCCTTGGCAGTCCTTGTTCCAGACCCTAGATTCTAATGTACTTTATAGTCTGAACCACAGAACACAGGCAGCACCCTTCCCTTGAAAAGGTACTCTGTGATAGACACTAGCCAGGTCTGAGAATTCACTGGCAGCTTAAAGTTTGCATTGCTTTTCTTTGTGCTATGAAGTCTGGAAAAGCTGGCACGTGGGTGAAGTTAAAGGTCTCTCTCTCCCTGATAAAGCACCACAAGACTCGGCAAGAACGCCAGATTGTTGGCAAAACCAACCGGTGGCGTTTTCCCCAAGAGCATTTCCCCGGAGACCTGCTGGCACTCTCCCAGACCTGCAATGCTTTGAACCTAGACCTTGATGAAGCTCTGAAGAACCCAGACAGGTAGGGAGGGTCGAAGACCTGTGACAGAGAACGGCAGCACCCAAAGTGGGGGGAGGTGCTTAATGATCAGACCACGCTGACAAGATGGTTTGGGATTGCCAGACTCAAGTCTGTAAGGGAGCTTCACTTGAGGTCCATGCATAGGAATGGACAGGGTCTCAAGTGACTCCTTGCTCTGACAGTGTCTGTCGATGGTGACAGAAGAGCAGCTTTTCCTGTATATATGAGCTTCAGACCCTCACAGGATTCTAACTTCATCATCCAGGGACCAAGTTGATCTCTTGAGAAAGCTCCGTGGCTAAGTGTTTGGACGTTTCTCATGAATTCCCATTTCCACCCAGACTATTATTCCCATTCCCTCCCTTAGTAAGTAGCCTTGGCCTCAGGCTAGACCATCAGTTTTCTAAATAGTGAGTTCAGCCTGTCCAGAGGACACAGCAATGAATCTTATTGCAGAAGGACCCCTTCACTTCCTGGTGTTTCCACCCTGGCTTGATACCACTAATCTCTGAACCGGCAGTGCCTGTCTCATGAGTTCATGGCTAAGTCCAGCTAAGCCGATGCTGCCCCGTGGAGATCATCCATATCCTGGCATGGAAGGTCTGCTGGTTCCATATTTGCTGAGTGACTAGCCAAATATGACCTTTATAGCCAGTGGCTAAACCTCACTGAACTTCACTTTCCTCATATGTGAAATGGTGATGATGGAAACTCCCTTGAAAACTCAATGAATGATTAAATCTGGTGCATTATATCAGGCTATATATTAGAAATACTTAGTATGCTGGGGGCAGTGGCACACACCTGTAATCCTAGCACTCTGGGAGGCAGAGGCAGGTGGATCTTTGTGAGTTCCAGGTCAGCCTTGTCTACCAAGTGAGTCCAAGATAGTCAAGGCTACACAGAGAAACCCTGTCTCAAAAAACCAAATATATATATATATGATAAGAATATATATATATAATATATATAATTACTAAGAATATGTATATTCTTAGTAATACCATGTGCCTTTAGACACCAGGAGACTTTCTGATGTCATGTTCGAAGGCCAGTGTGTGGGGGAGTGTCTGGAATTGTACTCTGTAGCAAACACATGTCTCCCAAAGCATATAGTTCTCCAACTTGCCTCTTGTGTTGTAATTTTGGCTTCTCCTACATGGGGTCACTGTCAGCTTTGACAGAAGCCAGATCAAACTGTGGTGAACATGACCCTTCCAGGGTCACTCAGCTCCCACTTATTTTGCGTCTATCACCGTGCCTTGGACAGGTCTGCCCAGCTCTGCTTGCTGGGTCTGTGGGTTTCCCAGGCATGAGGGCCTCCGAGGCTGCTCACTTCTAGATTCTGTGTGGGGTTCTGTATATGGCTTTGCCTAGAGTGCAGAGTGGAGTTGGGGGCTGAGAGACACCCAAGTGTTGACACCTTTCATACACCTGTAGCTTCTTATATGCAAATTGAATATGTTCTCTTATATTATCGCATTATTCATGGGAAAGCCTTGAACAGACACACTGAATAAAAATAAGCCAAGCTGTCTTGGGGGAGTCCTGGCACATATGGGGCCACACTACCACTTACCCAAAGAGGCAGCATAGGGGAGGTGCTGCCCAGGCTAGACTTAAAGGAAGAGCCCTTCATGTAAGGATCCAGGCGTGGTAGAAAATGAGCTCAGGGCCCTTCCTGATCCCTGGCTGGTGACTGACCCTGGCTGATGCTTTCCTTACATCCTGTCACTGCAGAGACAAGTCAGTATCAAGGTCAGAAAGGTCTTGCAAAGAGGTGTAGATGTCAACGGGAGACCCCTTGATAGTTTATCAGAGTACAGTTTTGGGAGAGGGATATTAGGGACATAGGAGCTGAGTTATAGGAGAAACAAAACAGCAAACATCAGCCAAGTGTAGGTAGCCCCCTGAGACACCCAGCCTTCTCCTCTGCCCAGGCATCTTTGTTTTATAGAGAAAAGCTCTGAGAATCAAGGGGCAGGTCCCGAAGTCATGGAGAAGAAAATGGAGGGACTGGAACCCAGTTAGTCAGATTGGAGTCCTTGGTGCCCAACATTAAGTACCAAGCCAACATGCCCATAAGTGGCTTATTGCAGGACACCTACACATCCATAGAGAAACATAGGGAGCAAGTACCAGCCTAGGCACACAATACCACTGCCCTCTGCCACATCTTCACAGGCTATTTTTCTTCCTGGTGAATGAAGAGATGCTGTTTGTACCATAGACTCTACCATGATACTACAGTGAGCCTGTATCTTGAGGTCTACAAGGCTGTGCGGTAAATAGCCATCATGCCCAGGAGAGGCAGTTGTGCCATTTTGTCCTCTGGCATCCCCTGGCTTGGCTGGCAATGGGGATGTTTTTGAGGCAGGTTGAGCTCATGGACAGTGCCATGTATTTTCCAAAACCCATCACTTCCATTTAAGGTGATGATCTGAACTCTTAACCCTGCCCAGCCAGCTTTTCTCAGACATGTCACCTAAGTGACTGAAGGAGGGTGTGAGGGTGCCTGGGTTCAGTCCATTACTCCTGCTGGGTAAACAACTCAGGCTCCCAGTGCCTTCCTGAGGTTGAATCATTTGCAGCCATCTCTGTCTTGGAAAGGGTGGCATGCTGTCACTATTATTCCGGAAACAGGCTCCCGCCCAAACCGCCTCCATACACCTGGCTCACGAGGCCTTCTGAATCACTTGGAAACAGCATTCCCAAGTGGACACTAGGTTACACAGACCAGATGTGGTCTACAAGTGTCCCCTGGCTGGTTGGCTTTCTTGGGATGATCATCTTCTAACTGAATCTGTGACTCAGGTTTTAGTTTATTTCCACGCTGTGTGTGGAGTACATAGTGTCTGTGAAAAGCATTATCACAGCTGTTATTCATGCTCATGGACTCAGTGGACATTGCCTGAACGCTGATACAGTGACTTGTGCCAGGGCCACAGCAGTAAACAGACACCTGGTCTGTTGTGTAGAAGACACAAGGGTAGAACAGACAGCCAGTAGACAGTACAGGCGTTTTAATGGGACAGTCTTGGGGTATGTGTGGGGCCTTGAGGGGGCTGGCACAGAGAAAGCGCAATGACAGTTTTCCTTGAGAAGTAATAAGAGCTCCAGGAGAGAAGCAGGAGAACCCAGTGCATAATTTTAGGGACCTTAGTGTGTGGGAACCGCATTCAGGAAGCCAGAGCTATAGCCAGAGCGGGAGGCATAAGTCTGTTAAGGTGGGAGCTTGCAGCTTTGCCAGGGAGCCTATGATGACACTGTGGTGGGTCCCCAACAGGGGAGACAAGGCCAGTTCTGTGTGTTGTGTGGGGTGTGAGTCCAAGGAGAGGACATGATAGAGGCTGGGAGGCTGGCAGTGGTTGGGAGACAAGAAGTAGCCTGGACAACAGTTGAGCAATGAAGACAAAGATGTGTGAGCAGATTGAAAAAACCATTTTACCAGATGGGGGCCAGTGCTCAGATGTGACAATGCTCAGTTGACTGGCTTGGACCTGGGAGCCCATTTCCTGACATGGCAACGTAGGTGGAAGAACAGGGCAGAGTTTGGGGTAGATTATGAGGTTAATTTTCAGATGTCCTAAAATGCAGGTGTCCAGGTGATTACAGTTAATATCCTAGAAAAGAACGTTCAATGCTCTTCTCCAGAAGATATTTATTGAGCACCTACTGTGTGCCATTGTCTTAGAGACTTTCCAATGAAGTATCATTCCACAGGTCAGGGTAGCCTCGGTAAGCCATACTTAACAGAAACAGGGCTCAGCATTTCGGGTCAGCCAGGTTGAGAGTTGAGGAAACTATTGAGAGAGAGAGAGAGAGATGTAGCAAGGTGCTGTTTTAGAGATGCGTGCTCTAAGGATAGATGATGTAGGGATACTATAATGATGGTGTTGAGGGGATGGACCCTGCCGGAATAGATGATGTGGGGATATTCAAATGATATATGTTGTAGGGATGGATGTACAGGAATCGATGTGTTAGTAAAATCTACAATAGGATGGGTTGTGGCCCAGTTTCTGAACCCTGCCATGAAATACTCTCATAAAGTTGGTGACTAACAGTAATCATATCAGGAAGAAGTAACAGGTACCCCAGGTCATACAGTAAAACTAACAATAAAGCCAAAAATAGCTATATGGAGCTACATGTCCACCTGGGTCCTATCTGCAGAAATTTAAGGTTTGAGGCCATTGTCCTTTTTTCTCCAACTCTTGGCTCAAATAATGAGTTAAGGCATACAGAGCCTGTTACTAACACGCCTCATAACTGTTACAGTTAGCAAAAATGATTTAATATTAACTGCTAGGTCTTCTGTTTGTGTTTTCCCTCAAGATTTTGCATTTCAAAACTCCAAAAGCTTTTCGCTCAGAATATCGCGAACAGTGGCAAACAAATCGGGGAACCAGGTGAGTTGTCACCAGGGGATTCAACGGGAACTATGCTGACTTCATGGGCCTCCTATGGTCCCTTTGGAAGGGACCAAGCCATGGGCAGATAGCTGTTCTGTGAACTACATAGCATCTAACATGAAACAGGTGCCTATAAACATTCTTCTGTGTGTGATGAGTGGAACCATACTCCCCCCACGTATGCTTGTGACAATGGGCACGGTAAAGACAAACCCACTAATATCAATAAGAAGCTGTTAGAGAATTGTAAACATAGCGTTGAGGTACAGGGAAGCTGGGTCTTTGTCCCTTTGGGGTTCAGCCAGTCATGACTGACATCCAGCTTGACAGTTGCTGCAAAGGACTTTTCTGTGATAGGAGCATAAATCAGAATAGGAAAAAGGTCCATTGAGCCAGGTGAGGGAACTGGGAAGATTGCAGTGGGGTTTTTTAATTTTTATTTTTACATTTTTGTTATGCTGGAGATTGAATCTGAGCCCTCATGTATGACAGGCATGCACTCTACCACTGAACCACACCCCTCCTCCTACATCAGCCTTTTAAAGGAGCTCTTTGGGGTTAAACCTCATAGAATGGTTGCCTAAGATCAAAGATAGCCTCTTTTCCAAGGGAAAGCTAATAATTTCTTCTCATCTGCCAGTTATAATGGACCTAGAAAAGCAGTCTGAGATCTTCTTGTAGTGGAGAGAAAGAATATCGGGATTGATTAGTGATGTCTGCCATGTAATGGCCATCTTCAAAGTTGAGACTGATGTCCAGAGAGGGAGAATGTGAGATCTGTAATTCTGTTTCTTTCTATAATCACCCCACATATAGGGAACTTATTTTTTCTAACCAAGCATAAACAGTGCCCAAGGTCATTGAAGATTTAACATGCAAACTCAGTTTCTTAACTTCAACATGAAACAATATCTTAAGTTGGTGAATGACCGTACAAAGAAAAAGAGACAGGGAACCTAAGTCACACAGTCGACTTTTTTTTTTTTTTTGCCTAGAAACAGAGTGGCTCTCTAGAGCATGGGTAGCTTGGAATCACTGTCCTGTTCAGCAGCTTCTCCCTGAGCTCTGTGCCAACAGCAAGAACTGAGTCATTCAGAGACCCTCCCCGACGCCTTCTTGCCTCACCTTGGCTTAGTATCCTTGCATCATTCACCTGCCCTCTTATCAAGGCCTCTTCTTAATCATCTATGGCAGATGCAGGCCAGACTGCCCCACATAAAGCATTCCACAGTTTGCAAAGGGCTTCCTTTAGAGTGCTGTCTCAGTCCAATATAAAGCCCCTCAAGAGAGTCCACCCAAGAAGGTCCCTAAAGGTCCTTCTGAGCCATTTCCAAGCCCCTGAGGCAGAGAGAAGCTTGTGTGCCTTGGAAATCTACAACTTTGTCAGCAGCACTAGGAATGGCGATTGTCATAACTTGTAGTCCCCCTCAAAGCCAGCAAGCACTTGAACCCACACTATGCTAAGGCCCTGGGAAGCCACTTGTCCTCATTGTCTGCTGAATAAGTGCAGCCATTGCAGAGACTTCAGGCAGAAGTGTTCTTGAACTGTGACTCAGCATTGTTTTCTCTCCTCAGATGTGATTCTTGAATGCCTCGGATTCCAGTGGCAACTCCATCACACCCAGATTTTTCAATCTGAGACCTTGGCCAGGCTTTACTTGACATCCCTGGTACAGAGCACAAAAAACACCCCGAGGGTTCTGGAAAAGATTATGAAAGGTAAGCTCCCAGGGGACCTTCGACTGGAGCTGCAGATACCCTTGGGATTCAGAGAACCTCGCTTGGCTCATGGTCATCCTCATTAGTGACAAATCTTGCTCTGCAGTGTGAGCTCACCATGTGTCAAAACTGCTTCCTCAGCCATGAAGTGAGATGATAGTTCTCTCTGGGTGACTTTGAAGCTTAGAGGGGATAATAGATGTGGGGTTCTAGAGCTATACCTGGCACACAGCAAGTACTCAATGAATCTACAGTATTGTCTTTGTAATCAACACGTCTTTACCCAGCCGCGTGAGACATAGATTCTACCTACTTAGGGTAGACAAGATGGGCTATATTGAATCTCCTGAAGAACTTTCTGGAAGGAAAGCATAGTTCTGAAATCCATGACTGATTGCCCTGTTCATGCTGGCCAGAAGTTTACACATGTGTTTTTCCTTCTGTTCCCTTCCCTGACATTCTTTTGCTCAACTTACCTCCTTCCAGAAAGAATTTAGGTCACTTCTTTTATTCTCTCCTCTTGACATCCTAACCACTTTGGGCCTCCTCTTTCCTGGTCCATGTGCCTTCTCCAGTTACAACACCAACTTCTTCAGGTGGCAGCCTGGCCCCACTCCAGACTGATTCATAAGCAGGTGACATGGAAAAGCCACGGTCCCCAAAGCCAGCCGGCATGCTGGTCAGAGTGGTATTGCATTTCCAGCTCATGGAAGCAATGCCTTGCTGTTCTGGAGCCAGCCAGGCAGCCAGAGCCCCCAGTCACTGCCCCTCCCTGAGCCTGGAGTGCACTCTCCTACCTGCTAGGATCTGACATGGCATGGAGCTGCTGTGACTCCCCTTAGAAGCATGGGGCCCTGAGCCCCTTCTTGGTATGTGTTTACTGTGTGTAAGCAGTTTCCCCATGTCCTCTAGAACAGGGCTGCACTCCTCTGTCTTCCCAGAGCTCAGGTCAGATCCCTGACAGAGCTGTCGATGGAGGCCCTGGTGACTTAGAGAGGGAGTACACCGGAAAGGAAGATCCTGCAGTGGGAAAGAGAGGGGCAGTACTCGTGTTATCTTTGATGGCTCCAGAACAGCATCACTAAAAGGAAAACACTAAGTCCTGCCTCTAATCCAAGACCCCTGCTAGTGACAAGGCCTAGCTAATGCTAGAGAGTGCAGTGATAAGAACTCTGTCCATGGCTGTCACTGCTCACACACTGATAAGTGCCAGCACATACATTTCCAGGATGTCCCATGGAAGAGTCACCATCTGCTCTAAGCACTTAGAAATAAGCAGAGCCTCTGCCCCAAGGCTGTACACTGATCTCACATTCATGGCTTCGGTCTTCTTGGGAATGTGTGGGTGCTGTCCTGTAGCTGGCACGGAGAAGGCTTCTGGAAGAGCCCTGGAGAGCTGAGTTCTGTAGGTTCCTGAGCCTTCACATGGCTGCTCATCTTCTTTCCGCCTAACATCATAGGCAGCTGAACTGGGAGCTGGTGTTCATTGTTTAGGATGAAATCCAGAGGAAAAGCCTCTTCTGCTAAGCACACTCCAGCCGCCTTCGTTTCCACAGACCTCGGGAGCGTGGCTAGTTTCCTGTCTGTCTGGGTGTTGGTGGCCTAACCTGGAGGGAAGTGTGAGCCTGCTGTGTCTGTCTCTCACTCTGGCCCAGCTGCTACTACTACTTGTGTTCCTACTTCCAGCTCGCTCCACCCACAGAGCCCAGGAACCAAAACCATTCATTGAGGCCCACTTTGCCCTCAAACTGCTCACAGGCTAGATGGGGGGAGGGAAATGGAAGAGGGATGAGGGATGGAGAGAAAGGCAGAGACTTAGCAAACATACCCAGTGTGATGCAGGTTTCAGTCTCCCATTTTGGAAACACTATGATCGTTGGGGTAAACTAGAGAGTGACCCAGGAACTTCTCAGCCTTCTGAACTTTGACATTTCCTACGAGGCTTCAGCTGTCTTACAATAAGTCATCACCTTTAATGTGCACCCAGCAAACAATCAGCTGTGCACAGGGTGGCAGGGCCTCATTCTTTATCTCCAGGCTGCTTTTTCTCTTCTAGGTCAGCCACCTGGGAAGATCAAAGAAAGGTCCCATGTAAAGAAGATCATCATTTCCTTGAAGATCAATGACCCGGCAGTCACCAGAGTTGGTAATGTAACCCACCTTCATGTTCTGAGAAGGCCATTGAGCGGTCCTCCCCGAGACAAAAATGAGCAGCAGAACACAGCGGGCAATTGATACATGCTGCTCCTCAAGAATACTGAGCAGGGACTGGGGAGATGTCTCAGTCAGTACTGAGCCAGCTGCCTGAGCATAAGGACCTAAGTTCAGCACTCCAGGACACAAGGAAAAGCCAGATGCATGCACATCTGCAACACAAGTGCTGGATGGGGTCGGGCAGGCAGACAGAGACAATCCCTGATCACTGGCCAGCTAGCTTACTAAATTGACAACATCTAGGTTCAGAGAGAGACCCTGCCTCAAAAAAAAAAGATGATGAGTGATTGAGAAGACCTTCATACACACACGCATGCACACACACGCACGCACACGCACACACACATGGTGATGAACAGTGCAGAGAAAGAAGTATCAAGAGGGCTAGGACACTAGGAAAAATAGAAGGCAGATCATTGCTTAAGATCAATGCAGCCACTCGTTAGGGGACAAGATACAGGAAAGGAAGGAAACGCAGGCTTCTCAAACCTGGAGGGAAACGGAGCTTCCTTACAGAGCTCTCACCTGTAGGTACGGGGGTACCCACAGGCCTACCCTTCTTTCCAAACAGCACGTGACCTGCTCCCTCCCCACTACCCGCCACTGGCTGGCTTCCAGAAGTAGTAGGAGGTTCCTGCAGAGTGCTCAACCTTTCCCCAGCTTTCCCAATCAGTCAGGCGTGTGAACACAGCATGTGTGACATGCTGTGATGGCACAGGTCTGTGAGTAGGTAGGTCAGGAGTGAATGCTCTGGAGCCCAGGTACGGCTGAAGGTCCTCAGAGCACACTGAAACAGCTTAGCAACACTGTCTCAGAACACATTACATTCGGAGGAGGCCAAGTCCATCTGATCTGTAACCTGGCAGTCTCGTTCCTAAATCATTAACTCATCCTGGCTCCTCCCAGGAGTGCCTGGCCTTTTCTGATGGTCTCAGACTCCAGGGAAAACCTATCATTAAAGCTCCATATCCTGGATCTAGAGAAAAAGCACACATGCCTGGACATAACGCTCATTACAGATTCAAGCAGGCACAGTCCTGTGGGGCCATGGACCCCAGGTTGGGGGGACCTAGGGAGCACGCTGGCCTTGTGGTTATCTGACACACACACAGACTCTGAAGGCAGGCTCAAAGGAGGAGCTTTATAGTGGAGATCAGCTTTCCTGACCTTCATCCTCAGCTTCCCAAGGTGGTCACCTGCCCAGGTACAGCACTGTTCACCTTTCTTTCAAGCATCTCCACCCCCTCCCAGCTGCAGGAGTAGCGAGGCCCGTGGGCGGGCACACAGAGCCCGCACTAACGGCCCCCTCTGCTGCTGCCTCCCAGCCTTCGCCATGGCCCTGAAGAACCTCTACGTGAAGGAGGTGGAGATGAATGTGGACAACGTGCTGGGTGTGCTGGCTTCCGCTCACGTCCTCCAGTTCAGCTCCCTATTTCAGAAGTAAGGACAGCAGGAGGGACGGGCCAGCCTGGGCTAACTGGGCATATTATTTGCGGATCATTTCCTGAAACATTCCTCTTTCTTGGAGGTCCTTCGTACCAGGCATAACTTAGAACATGGAAAGGCACAACACAAAACTCCTTACTGACGCATTAAAAGTGTTTGCGGCAGGCCCCGTTATTTTAGTGCATGTCAGCTAAGTGATTACTGATTCGTGGGAATGAATTACAAGTGAGGAGATCCTACCATGGGTAGAGATTATACAGCTATGTGAAGTGACCTCCCTCGCTCAACCCTGGCTTGCTGATCAATTTTACCTGAGTTTATTTGGGAATTAAAAAAAAAAAACAAACTTTATTTGTTAAGTAAACATACACCTGGGCCCATCCCCTCACTTCTCACTTCAGATAAAGCTTTCTTTTTTTTCTTGAAAATATTTTTTATTGTTGAGGATGTTACATATAGTCACCGTAAATTTTTTTGAAGGGGAAAAAAAATGCAAAGATCAGGCCAACGAGTATCCCAGATGGGAAAGGCACTTGCCACAGCCCAGTGACCCGGATTTGATTCCCAAGCTGCACATGGCGGATGCGGAGAATCAACTCCCTCGAGTTGTCCTCTGACTTCCACGTGTGCACGGTGGAATGCGAATTACTCTCTCTCCTACAGAGTAGATGGATGTAATTAAAAGATCTGAAGATCAGATGTGGCCACTATCCCAGAGCTCATTCTGGGGCATGGCCCTTTTTCTGGCTGCCCGGTAGGTGGGCTTGTGGAGGCTGAGAAGGACCAGGAGAATTGAGGGCCAGCATCGAGACTGCTGATCCTGAGGTCACCGGGGCCCTGGAGCATGTATACAGTGAGACCTCGAGGATACATCTCGGTACCTCTGCCTTGAGTGAGGTAGCTTGATAGGGCTTGGTCACTGGCTCCCACTTAGCAAAGAGCTTTTCTACAGCCTTCACAGCAACTGCGTGAGTGAGAGGAGAAGGCTTTGTTTAGTCCTGTAGTAAGCTACCCATTTGCCACAAGCCTCTGTGGTTTGTGTCATAAACTGTGGCTCATCATTATCCCTACCCACTTGCCTGGGGTTTGCTAAGGACTAGGGGACACTGCCCCAAAGCCTAGAGATGACATGTTGGCCGCGGTCTGACACTGTTCTTAGCTCTCTGCAGGGCCTAGCTTCGTCTGCACAGCAGCCCTGAGAGCTGGCATTAGTTTTGATCTAGCTTTAAGAGTGAGAAGGTCGGGCCCAAGAGATGCAAAATTTGATTCCATGGAGAACAGCCAGGGCCCCAGACCTGTAGTTACTGACCACATTACCCTACTTGGCTTGGGTGAGGTAGCTGTGTTATCACGTTTCTTTTACAGTCCCGGTCCATGGGGGCTGAAAGGCTGTTGCTTAGTCAAGCCCTCACTCACTCCTCTGATCCTTCTAGAACCATTACTTGGACTTCTCTGTGATGCCAAAGAATCAGAAAGGGAAAGATGCACTCAAGGTTGCACTTGAGTTATGGGTCAAAAGTCCCTGCAACACAGGAAATGGGTCAAGTAGGGTAGAGTGAAGTCAAGGCTCCCAAATGTTACATCCAGGCTGGGTAAGATTAACTTCAAGTACGCTCCGTGCCTGATAAGCACAGGCACCTCTCTGAAATCCCCCCTTTAGCGTCCCGTGAAGTTCCTCTGTGCTGACGCTTCTTAAAGGGCATGTTGGGCTCATGGAAACCCTTTGGTGGGATTTGTCTTCCTAGACAGGGTGTATGTCCACTGCTGCGCCCATTCAGCCCTCAGGACGGGAATGCAGTGAGTGGCTGTGATTTTCTATGCGACTGTGATGCAATTCGGGACCATTAGGGCAAGGATGACCTGCCTGTCTCATTTAGACCTCCTCGGGGCCTCCGTGAGTTTTAGCTTGGGTTGTACTGACGAGGTCATATTATATAGCCCAGGCTAGCCTTGCACAAGCGATCCTCCATCCTCCACCTCCCGAGTGCTTGCATGGCAAGGGCGTCCCTCAGCACTCAGCCAGCCTCAGTTTGTCTGTGTAAATGAACGGCGATCCCACCCAAGCCAGCAGAAGCCACCAGGCTGCCCTGGAGAGGGCAGAGACAGGCCGTTTCCTGGGGAATCTGGGAGGATGTCACTCACTCATTTTAAAGGCCACATATTTGTATGCAACACAACATTTTTCTGAGCCATTGAGGATTCCTGGTGTGTGTGTTTGGGGGGTGGGGAGTCCTTAAGGATGCCTCAGGCCAGGTACTCCACCTGGAGCTTCTTACAGGCTTACTGGTGGCACAAATGCTCCACATGCCAAGGACCTCAGGTGCTCACAGGTCTGGGCTGCTCTATGAGGGATACACTGAAAGGGGCTTGGAGCCTCAGAAAGTTTTACAGTATGTCTTACGGCCAGACTTGCGGGGCTGTACGGCTGAGCATGATGAGAGGAGCACAGCTAAAGCCAGAGGCAGTGTGTGCGGCATCTTGCAGTTGTCCAAGGGATCTGGCCCTGGCTGCGCAAGTGGTAATGGCTGAGACTCCCCATACCCCTTATGTCATAGCTAACACCACTTCAGCTCGGCCAAGCCTGTTACTGTGCGCGGCTTGCTCTCTCAGGTCCTTTCTGAGCAGCTGTTATCCAGGCCCCCATACTGGAAGGGGAGCTTTCCTCTGGAAATGGGTCTCTAGCCACCTTCTGTCTCCACCCATCACCATCCTGCCTCCAATACCGGAAGCCCTCTACGACTGCTAGAAGCCTGCTCCTGGCTTACTCATGGATGAGCCAAGAATTCTATTTTCTTATTCTCTTGCCTCCTCCCCCTCTTTATTCTGAGTTCCAGAACAGGAAGAACTTTGGTTCTAACTGGCCGAGCCTGTTGACCTGCTCATGAGCCTGGGCAGAGCCTCCAGATCTCCCCAGTGGGGTTAGTATTCTAGGTCAGGGGCCAGGGCAGGCCTGCCACACAGCCGAGCCGGTGTTTGAGAAGCTGGTGGTAATTGACGGGGGTGTGCCAGCCAAGCCGAAGAGGGTGGTATGTATGAGAAGGTGTGCAAAGGACAGCAGTGCCCCGGGTCACTCTTACGGCATTGTAACTTCCGGCCCCAGATGAGGCCCTGCAGGTTATCCAAGCTGAGGTCCTGGCTCATGAGAAATCACCCCGATGGCCTCTCAGGTCTGAACCACACATCCTGGAGGTCTTTGAGGAATGGAATCTATGCACACACGTGTCACCTGTGAGGATGCATAGGTTCTTTCACTGGTGTCTACACTGGTAGCTGGTACTCAGATCACAGCTGAGACCATGACTGTCACAGGATGACTTGGGTGGCTGGATCAGAAGAAGAAAAAGGGAGAGGTGAATCAGGGGTTTAGGGTGAGCCTGCTCATACAGGACCTCAAAGGTCCCATCAGCACCTTCCTCCACTTGTTTTAGTGGGTAGCCAGTGACCTGAAGCATGAAGAGGGCGTAGCAGGAGCAGTCCTTCAGGCACTGTGGGAGGCTGGCGCTGAGGTGGAGCTGGCAGGCACAGGGGATCTGAGCTAGGTTTGGGAAACTTAATAAGTGACACGAGAGAAAAATTAAAATTACCTAAAAAGCCAGAGAAATATGTTACTACATAGAGGCAGATAGAAAATGGGCGCTGAGCCTCTGTTCTTTTCCATGTTGGCCAAGGGGCCACAGCAAAGCAGAAGTCAGTAAAAGCAGTTCTCTAAAGGCACGGGGGCTGGGGAGCCCTGCTCATTGGCCACTCTGACTCATTGACAGTACGTTTAGAGTGTGTGGGATGGATGAGACGGCTCAGAGGGAAAGAGGTATTCCGCCAAGAGCAGGAACCCGAGTTTGATCCCTAGGAACCCCCAAGGTTGTCCTCTGAATCCCACAGGCATGCCTTGGCATCCACACACCTACACACAATGTAATTGACAATGCTCTTAAGTGAATCTCAGCTGAGTTTACAATAACCACAGGGTGATAACGAGCCCACAGGAGACCAGAGAGCTCTGTGGCTGCTCACGCTCTGTGCCCTCCCTGGCAAGGTGGGCATGCCTCATGCTTGAACGTGACCTAACGCCAGATAAGAACTTTCCGGGGTGCCACCTTCTACCTCACCCTTCCCCAGCTCACTTTGGTTTCACCCCCACCCTCTCTCCGCATAGCAACTCTGTCACCCTTGCAAGATCTGCACGTGTCGCACGCCTTCCCACGTGCTGCTTCTCTCGGGACACCGGCCTCTCCACCCCTGCCCCAGCCACTTCTTCGACTTGATGTTTCAGATTCTAAATTCCACTCTTTTGGTTTCTGATTGCTTCTCAGATTAAACACAATTAGATCCCCTTTTCTGCATTCCCATGATACATTATGCTTTAGTTTTCTTTTCTTTTTAAGTTTAAGGGCAGCTGACCTTTTGACATTGAGACACAATGTCACCTACAAATGTGTTGCTCTGAAGTTTGGCCATGTCTCTCCTAACCCCTAACCAACTATGACAGCATGTTGATCTGTTCCAGTGTGTACTCAGCAGTGTGAGAGCCAGATGTAGTGGCCCACACCTGTAATCCCGGCACTCAGGGAGGCAGAGGCAGATGGATCTCTGTGGATCCGAGGACAGCCAAGGCTACACAGAGGAACCCTTTCTCAAAAAACAAAAACAAACAAACAAAAAAAGCAGTGTGTGTCTTCCCATTGGCCGTTAGCTTTGCCCCGTGTACACTAGAGTCCTGCGCAGAGCTGGCCACACTGAATGTGATTAGCAAATACAATTTTGATGAGAAATTGGTCAGTGAAACCAGGCCTAGTTATGAGAAAGGACTCAGATATTCATCAGGATGCTACTGTTGGAATTTGTGGACAGAAAGAAACAGTATTTGAAGCCACCCAGTAGTGGGGCAGGAAAAAATGCCTTGGGCAGAAGGGCATCCAGAGGCCATCTTGGCAAAGCCTGAGTCATTAGCTTCTCTGGCTCCAGGCCATGGTGCTGCTTCCTACTGAAAAGGCCGGGCTCCCTCTGGCCTCACTTCCTTCCCTCAGCCCAGAGCTCTTATAACAGGCCTGCTGCTTCTGTTCAAATTCCCAAAATAAGGGCTCCCTTCCCAGTAACAGGTCTCTGCTGCCATCCTAGAGTTGAATAAAGTCTCTGCCCCACCCCTACCCTGCCGCTGCCGCCACCACCTTCTCCGGCAGCAAGCGGATTGTCAGCATCAGCGGCTTTTTCTCCACAGGTGCGTCAACCTAATGTTGACCAGACTCTCACCAAACACAATCAAGAACTTCTACTTGGCCGGCTGCAAGGTGAGAATGTCTGGGTGGGGTTGCAGGACCCGGGGTGCCAGGGCTTCAAGAGACCCAGACCCTGAGTGCCATCCACCAGGCTTAACTCCAAAACATCTACTCAAAAGCACTCAAGAGTACAGATACATGAACAGGAAAACAGCTTTTAAAAGCCTTAATCTTGGGATTTGAGAGTGGTTACTAACATGACTTTTCTCACCAATGCCTTCTAGAGCATAGATGGAACCATGAGCTCTTGCCTCCTGGTCCCACTCAGTCTGTCTGGGTTGGAAACTAATGCGATGCAGCTCTTGTTATCAGAGGCCAGGGGACATGAGGAGAGATGCAAACTGCTCAGAGCTCTAACTGCTGAGGGCCAGTGCTAAGTCCCAAGCCTTATCTCCTGATTCCATGCCCCTGCCCAGCTACTGCTCACTATGACTAGTGGCACACTATGAGAGAGAGATGTTTCAGGGTGACAGTTCACACATAGCCAGCATGTCAAGACACTGTACCTAAGAACACCTCCCTGTCTGTCAAGAATCATATGGTTCTCATAGTCATTTCACAGCCCTAGAAAGCCAGTCTTGGTGACGTCCTTACATTCTGCTTGCCGTTTCTCAGCAAGTCTTTCACCTGGGAAAAAACCCAAATCCCAAGGACATGCAAGGTCTACCAAGACCCTCTCAAGATCCCTGATTCCAGGAGCCTTTTTCACATCCCTCCCCATTTTTATTAACTTTTTGAGAATTTTGCATTTTAATCATATTCACTCTGCCCCCCCCCCAACTCCTTTCCTTTTCCCTAACCATCTCTTTGTTAGTTTGCTTAAAACCCACTGAGTACAGTTTACGTTTTCCTTATACTCTAGGACGTGTGGCTTTCCACTGGAGTGTGGTTGACCCACCGAGGGCCACACACTTAAAAAGTCTCTCTCCGGCCAGGCACAGTAGCACACGCCTGTAATTCCAGCACTCAGGGAGGCAGACGGATCTCTGTGAGTTCGAGGCCAGCCTGGTCTACAAAGTGAGTCCAGGACAGCCAAGGCTATACAGAGAAACCCTGTCTGGAAAAACAAAACAAAACAACAAAAAAGGGTCTCTTTCCCAGCAGCTGTCAATGCCACAATAGCTTATTAGCTAGAGTAGGACTTTGTGTGCCCCACCTCCCTGCAATCCAAGTCTTTTAATTCTTGCTTCTAAAATGTACGCTGAAGCAGCGTCTGAGCTCTGCATGGGTTATCCTCCCCACCCCACCCCAGACTTGCAGTGATCACTGAAAGCAGCCCAGGGGCCTTCAGCACAGAGGCCTCTCTCTACTCAAGCAGCCTGGACAGTAGCAGGACCGGTTGCTGTATGTGACCACAGAAAGAGAAGGCACCTTGGAACCTTGGTGACACAGGGATAGCTGGGAGCCGATGTCATAGAAGTGGTTTAAGTCAGTGGAGTTCAATACTCTAATACCTTCTACCACCCCAGCCTTCCGTACTCTCCACCTACACACGCACACACACACACACACACACACACACACACACACACACACACACACCTATGCGCACATCTGCATGCAGTGACACCGCACGCCAGCAGAGGGGGGCTGAGAGCCAGGCATGCTTCATCCCATACCTGCTATTTGCCTCCTCAGTACAAGGAAGAGCAGCTCACCTCAGCCTGCGAGAAGTGGCTGGCCGTGAACTTGGTCCCTGTAGTGGGGACGCAGATCCACCTCCGACACATCCCTCAGCATCTGCTGCACAAGGCGCTGAAGTCGCCCAGGTCAGAGCGGGTGTGCTGCCCCCAAGGGTAGGTGTGGGGGGCAGCAGGGGCTGATGGGGAGAGGAGACAAGCCAGCAGTGGCCATACCCATTCCCCTGTGAGCTTGCCATTTTAGTTCCCAACTCTCTGCTCTCCCAGACAGCCTGGCCTTGGATGGGAGCTGAAACTCAGGGTACTTACTGTATGTGGGGTCAGGAAGAGAGAAAGCCTTCATGCTCCTTCTAGGTAAGGACCTGCTGGTGTCAGCTGTCTCCTCACCTGTCTAGGTCAGAGAAGCAAAAGACTATTGCTTCTCTCCCTCCCTCTCACTTTAAATCCTGACAACGTTCTTTCGTATTAATTATGGAAAATTTGGAAAACAGGGAAAGGCAGAAAAAGAAAAGAAAAAACCTCTCACCCCAAACAAGATTTCATCCCTAGTCCTGACTCCTTTGCCAAATATTTTTAAACCTGGGTGCCCAGCTGCCTGCTTGGCCTCTCTGTCAAAGCTAAATGCCCCAACTTTCGGGGACCCCTGCTTTCGCTGCCCAGTCCTCTCCCAGCACAATGTCCTCAGAATACATTAAAACACAGGGAGTCCTCTGGACACTACTTTGACCTCATCTTGACCACAAGGCCAATTCTGTTTCCAAACTGAGCACTCGATGGTGCCAGCTCCATCCAAGGCCAAGGCACCATCATATCTCACAGCCTGTAGCCCCAAAGGCCCCTAATCAGATACCGCTAATGTGGCTCTTGCTTCTGGATTTGACTCCTACAAGCACAATCTGGCTGACCCATCCCGTGGTCTGAAACAGCCCCACAAGGACAGTTCTTGGACTCTCTGCCATGGCCACTGCATGCTTTCTCGGGCCTGAAACCCCTGTCCTGTGCTGCCAAGCTTTGCCTCCTCCTTTCTCCAGCTGTTCATGGAGCCGTGGCTCCTCCCTGATTTCTAATGTTTTATCAACATTCGAGTCTCAGTAACTGGCCTTCGTGCATATTTTTCTTTATCTCAGATTTTTTCCTTACATTACACTTCTAGAAGTGAAATTGCCAAGAGGAAAGGACTGTCTTTAATTTCTCTTCTTAAAATATTTTATTTGAAGATTTCAAACTACGGGGGAAAGAAGAGTAGCGCAAAGAGCATTGGCCCCTCAATCTGCAGTGGTTTACCTCTGATTCTATTTATAAGCTGAGCACAGCCCAAGTTGAAAATGCAGGGGATGCCTCGAATTTCCCTGACTTCATAGCCACCACAGGCTGTCCATTGTCCACTGTTATGATCTCTTGGCTGCCAGTATGGCTGCCCAGCACCCGCACTGAGAAAGGACTACACCATACTTACCACTCTTTGAGGAAAAGATCAAGATTTGAACTTTGCTTTCTACTAAATATGGATGGGTTTTATAGCATCCAGAGCAGAAAAAATTAACTGACCCTGTCTCTCCCAGGTACACCCTTTGCCCTGAGTCACTCACCTTAGCATTCTGTCCCTGCCTTGTTTGCCTCATTATTTGCATGTATGTGATTTTACACACTTCTCCTTTTAAATCAAGGTTTAGTTTAGGACTACATGTTATTTGGTTGTCAGTCAGTTGGACTGGTTCAATTTTTTTTTTTTTTTTTTTTTGTCAACTTGACAATCTAGAGTCACCTAGGAACAGGGAACCTCAACTGATGACCTGCTCCGGTTAGACTGGCCTTTGACCATGGCTGTGAGAAATGTCTTGATTGATAATTAATGTGGGAATGCAGGGCCCCTGTGGTACCATCCTTAGGAAAATGGGCCTGGGCTGTATAAGAAAGCTAGCTGAGCATGAACCACAGATGGAGAGAGAGACAGACAGACAGACAGGGACAGAGAGAGCAAGAGAGAGCAAAAGTTGTGTTCCTCCATGGTTTCTGCTTGAGCTCCTGCCCTCTTTTGCCTCATTGATGGACTGTGACCTGGAAATGCCAACTGAAATAAACCCTTTCCTTACCTGAGTTGCTTTTGGTCAAAGTGTTATGTCATGGTAACAGAAAGGCAACTTGAATATTTGGGACTTGAATCTTTGGGACTCATTTTAGATGGCTCTTGGTGCCCACAGACATTTTCTAGAGACATGTTCCCATTGGGTGAATTTCAGAGGTGAAAATCATATTCTACTTTAAAGAAACATTAGTAGCAAGATTAAAAGAGACAAATGTTTGTCATGTTTATGTGGTAGAAGGTGTCCTGCTTTTAGAAACTCTGTATAGAGGTGCTACTGGGATGGCGCCATGCTTAAGAGTGCTTTCTGTGCAACCATGAGGGCCTGAGCTCAGATCTCATAACAAACTGGGCGTGGTCTCATGCCCATACCCCCGTCCTGGGAAGGAGGTAGTGACAGGATTGCTAGAGCTTGCTGACTGCCAGACTAGAAGAGAGATGTGGGCTTCAGGTTCAGGGAGAGACTCTGCCGCAAAGAGGACTAAGGCATACAGTGATGATAGAAGAGGATGCCTGATACCTTCCTTTGGTGAGAGAGAGAGAGATCTTGAAAGAAATTGGTAACTTAGATTCACCAAATGACACCCAATTCCCTCACATTAACAGAGGCAGGAAGGCAGCAAGGCAGGGGCCTGGTGTTGAAGGAAACCATTACCTAGGAAGACCCCAGAAGCCAGCTCCAGAGCAGCAGGGCACTGGTAGGCCCCAGGCACTCATGCTCTGGTTCCCTGTTTTTCTCACTCTTGTACCCACCACCCTCCACTCCACCCTCCGACAGAGGAAAGGTCAGGAAATTGAAGACTATGTAAACATGGCGTCCTTAGACATTACATAACGCCATCCATCCCTTTCCTCGGAAAGGCTGAGCTGTCCCACACTGAAAAAGAGGAGAAAAACATCTGACCACAGCCAGAACATTGGTGATGGCCCAGGCCAGACAACATGCTCACCAGGCAGGAAAATAGTTCCAGAGCATTACGTGGCAAATGTCTAGACTCACCAGCCTGGCAGACAGAAGGTGGAAACTGGGTCCCCTCTGCAATCCCATGCTGGGAAGGTAGAGTCAAGATGGATCCCAGGAGCTCCCTGGTCTTTCAGCCTAGTTCCATCAGTAAGCAGCAGGCCACCGAGAGGACCTCTCAGAAAATGAGGTAGAGCATGATTGAGGTCAACCGAATGTCAACTTCTGGCCTCTGCATACCCAAGCATATGTACACATACCAGAATGAAATGAACCCAGGCTAGAGGGCCTTCTGTCAGGGTGTTTGATGAGAAGGATTGACCCCACTTTCCACATATAATCAAGAGGGAACACCTCCTCCAGTAACGGAGCACCTTTGCCAGGTGCTGTCCCTTTCCATGCCCAACTCTACAGTAGTCACTCCCTCTTAGATCAGAGAGCTGATGAGGACGGGTAGGGCCTCTGCTGGCTCCTGTGCCTTTAACATGGTGCCTTCCCCTATTCGTCATGAAAGTGAGGCCTCCTCAGAAGAGGTCAGTCAGGTCTGGGATACGTGTCCTGAGAGGCTGTGTGAGCCCAGAGCAGGAAACATGGAAATGGTCAACCTTGGGGGCCAGGGATGGACCGTTCCTGGGGACCACTCAGCTGACCTGCCAGGCACCCACTGTCACTTGACCCCAGCCTGTAAGAAAGACAAGGCAAATAGCCTTTTCTCAGCAGAAACCTCTAAGCCTGGGCTGTCCAATGTTTCTTTTTGGACGTCCCTTGAGCTTGACCTCTTTTTTTGCGGGGTGGGGGATGGGGTGGAGGGCTTACTTTCCGTTTTGCAAACAGTCTAGAGTAAACTCTATGTTTTCCTGACCTCCTGGGCCTCTGGGCTTAATTTGTTTGCCTAGAATGTGGTTCTCGGTTCATTTTCCTTATAGCGGTCACCAGTAGGTGACCCTGTTCTCGTAAGTCCAATTTATAAAAACCTCATTCCAAGTTCTGTGTTCCTGGAAGCCAAGCCCAAGCCCTATCCTGTTCCCATCTACACAAAAGTGTACCTTACAACAGGGGGCCCAGTCCCTCTGTCTCCTGCTTCCTATTTGTGAGCCAGGGGAGTTCAGAATCTCAGAAATTCCCTAAACAAAGAGACACAAGTGAGATAGCGTAGGTAAAGTGTGTTTGCCATGTAAGTCTGATGCTCCTCATCCTACTCCCCAGAACCCAAATAAAAAGCTCAATGTGATAGCTGTAATCCCAGCACTCCTACTAAGAGACAGGTAATGGAAGCCTAAAACCTCAAGGGCTGGCTAGCCTGGGGTACACAGCACAGCAGGAACAAGGAGATATCACCTCAACAAGCTGGAAGGTGAGAGCTGTGTCCCCAAAGTGGTTCTCTGACCTCGACATAGAAGTCATAACACATGTGCATTTGTAGTCACATACACCATGGAATGCGTGCGCACACACGCGCACACACACACACACACATACATAACATTTTTTAGAGTAAATGAAAAAAGAAATACCCCTGTCATCCTTGTCACTCCTGTCCCAGGCTCTAACGGCAATGCTGAGCTGTCTCAGTTGGAATTTCTGAAGCTGGTCCTCTGGCAAACAAGAACAATGCCTACCAATTACTGAGCACTTGTCAAACACAGAACACTCTGAACGGGTTACCCAGAGGGCTCATCCCCACAGAAACTCAGTGTGCTAGTCCTGTCACCTCAGGTTACCACCCGTGGGATCACAGGAAATGATCAAGCAGAGCTGAGTTTCCCCTCTCCCGTGCAGCCGGCCAGCTGGACTTGAACCTGGGTTGGAAAGCCTTCTGAGCCGTGAGGCCTGTTTCCTTACTGATGGCCAAGATCAATAAGGACACTGATCTTACTGTTTTGCACTACAATCATTAAAAACCTGTTATATATATAACATTTATGTGAGTGTGTGTGTGTGTGTGTGTGTATCAAGTGTGTGTGTGCACACACACGCACGTGGGCACCCATACGCATGTCCTGGCTAATGTGTGGAAGTCATAAGACAACCTGTGAGAATCAGCTTTCTTCTTCCACCAGGGGTCCCAAGGGATTGAGCACAGGCTGTCAGGCCTAGCAACAAGCACTGTTACCTGCCCAGCCATTTCTCTGGCTGATTTTACTATGAAAGTTTTTATATAGAACACAGTACATTTTACTGCTCTAAATGAACAAAAGTAAGGTTTTTGCCATAAATTAATAAATAAATCGGCAGATGTTAGTGGTGGTACATGCCTTTAATTGCGGCATTTGGGAGGCAGAGGTCTGTGAACTGAGAAATATTAGAGAATATTAGTCCAGGAGTGGTGACACACACACACACACACATGCAGCACTCAGGAGTCAGAGGCAGGTGGATCTCTGTGAGTTTGAACCTATCCTTGTCTATATAGTAAGCTCCAGGCCAGCCAAGACTACAGAGTGAGACTCTGTCTCAAACATAACGAAACAAACAACAATAAAATAATAGGAAATATTACTAACAAAGCTATTCACTTCTCGCTAAGAGCAAGGGACTGACTAGTCGCAGCTTGTAGGCACCCTCGTCTGTGAGTGGACTCCCTCTGCGTACTCATACAGCCACAAATAATGCATTATATTGTCTTGCAAATCAGCATCCTTACGGTTGTAGGAAGGTACCACAACCAACTCACTGCGTCAGGGCCTTGTGCTCCCTCCCAGGATGTGCTGATGTGTATCACCAGATTTTCTAGTTCTAAGTACTGCGAGGGGCTCTGTGGAGCAAATCCACAACTGTCTCCTTTCACTCCTCATCTAAAGGCCTTTTATTTTATTTAGTGTTTTGCTATGACAAACAGCATAGCAATGGATGTCCTTGTTCAATGGCCTGTTTGTGTGGGTGTGGCTTTCCCCACGGTCAGTGTTCAGAAAGGAGGTTTATTGTTTATGCACAGCATTTTTCTTGAAAAATAAGAAGACAGGGTCTTATGCAAGACAAGGATTTTCTCCCAAAGAACAAGTGTCAGTTAAGCTACATTGTGGTGGCTGCAAGAAAATGCCAGGAAACACCCACAGTGCAGGGTGGGAGACTGAGTCCAAAGCTCGTGGATTAATTAAAAGTGTGTGTGAATGTTCTCCTCCTGGTTCCTTCCTGCGGGGGCTAAAACAGCCATGTCTAACCTTTTGACACATAAGCATTGTCATCTATAATGTCCAAGTTCAAGGACTATGCAATGAACTGACCAAGAAAAAAAAAATCCACAATGCTTTCGGTACATTTATGATTGTATATTGGGCTGCATCTGTCACTCTCCTGAGTCCATGCAGCATACAAGCCACAGGCCAGATGTACCTGGCAATGCTTTCCAAGACTGATATTGTCTTAACCAGAGACCTGAACTTCAGCAAATACCTTTCTAAGAGCCAGGACTGTAGTGATGGGACCATGACCATCTCTTTTGTTACTTCTGACTCCTTGGTAAGATCTCAAGAAACTTTCCAGGCTTGAGGGCTGCAAGGGTGGCAGCTGCTCTCGAAGCCACATTGTAGCTTTTTGTCTTTTTATGTTGCTTTGTGGGTTTTTTTTCCCTGTCCCCTAACAATAACTTCTCTGGCTCAAACTGCCTTCTCTTTGGTGGATCCCACACAGTCTCCTTTCTCTTATTCAATCCCTACTCAATCTTCTTTTCTGCCCCTACTCTCTAGCCCTACCCCACTGCTACCTTGACCCTACTCCAATCCTACTCAACCTCTCTTAGCCTCTGCTGGCTTTTTCTATCCTCTCCTGTTCCCAGAAATCCAAGAGGCAAACAACATTGAAGGTCATTGAGTAAGCAGTTCTAACGGCTAAGAATCCCCAAAGGGCTAATTGGCTAGCAACTGGAGATCCTTTAAAGAGCCATGCACACAAAATAAATCCCATCAGATTCCCCCATCCAGTTGATGAAAGTCTCTAAGGCAGCGGCTCTCCTGTGGGTCGAGACCCTTTTCATAAGGGTTGCATACGGACGTTTACGTTACGGTTTGTAAGGGTAGCAAAATTACAGTTAGGAAGTAGCAAGAATAAAAATAAGATAAAAAAATTCATAGTCAGGGTCACCTCAACATGAGGACCTGTATTAAAGAGTCACAGCGCTAGGAAGGCTTAGAGGCACTCTTCTGTGAGAACAAGGAATCTGCCTCTTTGTGGCCCAGATGGTGACCAACTTGGTTCTGTCTGGCCAGACTCAAGACAGTTTATCTGGAGGTGGCCTGGACACAGATGAAAGGAATGAAGCAATTATCCCGTGTCCATAAATAGCATAAGAGGTGGGAGGGCTGTGCTTGCATTGCTTGTTAGAGACATGATTTAGCTTGGCTTTCACCTACAGTGACCCCCTGGGGTGGGGAATGAAAAGGCTAAGACATATTTCATAACCAGGTGCTGTGCCCAGAAATATCAGTGGGCTTAAGATGTGCTGAAACAGTTCCTTTGATAGTTGAGCCAGCAGAGGCTGTTGGAGAGGCCTTAGAGAGGGTTCAGGTGGCTTTGGGCATTGTGAGACACTGTCTCACTAGCTGTCCTGGAACTTACTGTGTAGAGCAGGCTGGCCTCAGAGTCACCGGAGATCCATCTACCTCTGCCTTCCCAGTGCTGGCATTAAAGGCACCTGTCACCACACCGTGTGGCATAGTGGCTTCTTTTTTTTTTTTTTAAGATTTATTTATTTATTCTATAGACAGTGTTCTGGCTGCATGTGTTCCCTGCACAATGGAGAGGGCACCAGATCCCATTATAGATGGTTGTGAGCCACCATGTGGTTGCTGGGAATTGAACTCAGAACCTCCAGAAGAACACTTGACTGCTGAGCCATCTCTCCAGCCCCCACAGTGGGATCTTGGGGAGATGCCTCTTGCTGCCGTGGCCACAGCTTGGGCTCTGTAGCCAGGAGCCATCCTGTCACTTTGAGTAAGAACTGCCTCTGCTGAGCACACGGTCATATGCCAGGCACCGTCCTAACCACTTCTGTGTGTGTGGCCAATACACTTACGGCCCCAAAGATGCCCACACAATCTCCAGAACCTGTGACTGTGTCAGACAAAGGGGGGTTCGGGCGGCAGGTGGAATGGAAGCCACCCTGGGGTGTGGAAGCCAGCCATGCATATCACAGGCAGGAGGAGAGGAATAAGAGAAAGGGAGCATCAGAAGATGCCGCATTGCTGGCTCAGTCAAACAAGGGGACAAAAGCCAAGGAATGACAGCGTTTTCTGGGTGCCAAGAAAGGCAGGGAAAGATTCTCCCTGGAGCCTCCAGGAGAGGCTAACTGATTCTGTTCACACCAGGATCTCCATTTTGTACTTCTGCCCTCCAGAACCATGATTGATTTGTGTGATCTTAAGCTGTTCTGTGACAGTTACATCAACAGCTGGAAGCTTAAACAAGGAGTCCTATCCTCTGGTCCTCACCACTGCCGTTCTGAACAGCGGCTAGGCTTGCCCTTTCACAGCTGACCGATCATGGTCAGACCCCAGAGATTCTTGACCTGGTACTGAGCCCAGAACTGTGTGATCTGAGATAAGTTATTCATTTCAGCCTCAAGCCAGGCCAAGATCCAGTGCGGCCAACGAGAGAAATGTGTTGGCTGTAAAATTTAGCACGCAAAAGATAATGGCTGAGTGAAAAAACTAACTTATTAAGAGAAGTGTATTTAAGCCAGACATTGCGGCACACAACTTTCATCCCAGCACTCAGGGAAGCAGAGGCAGGCGGATCTCTGTGAGTTCAAGGCCAGCCTGGTCTACAAAGCGAGTCCAGGACAGCCGAGGCTACACAGAGAAACCTTGTCTTGAAAAACAAACAAACATATCTGTGTGCAATGTATTAAAACCAAAAGTAATGCGAACAGCCACAATGAACACTAATTGAAATGTGAAATAAGTGTAAAGCAGGAAGCAACTTCAACAGCTATCAATGCAAGGTGCATCTATTTCAATTTCATAGGCGTATGCCATGGGATGACACATAAAAACCATTATGACTTGAGAACACAGCACTAGTGAGAGCTCACTAAATAAGAACATCCCTTCTGTAAAAATCATGGCGGGTGTTTGAAAGCTCAAGGCCCAGCATCCGGTTCCAAGTTCTCCCTCAGAACTGAGAACAAGTTACTCAGTACCTCACTGAGGTCACTTACAGACCGGGCTGGCTTTGTCTCATTCCCCAGACCCACCTCTACCTTTTCATTTTTCTTACGGGTGGTTTTCCCCCTAGTCCTCACGCTTCTTTTCTGTCTGTCATTTTGAGCAGGTTGTTCACCTTCACTGAGTTCCATCTCCTGAAAACCTTGCTAATGTGGGTTTACCTGCAGCTCAACTGCAAGCCTGAGACGATCCCGATCCACGAGACCATGCTATCATTTTTTAGCAGGTAACGAACCTCAGTGCTGATCGATAAAATGCACAGATCTTGGTTTAAGCTGTTTTAGTTAATGAATTGCTTGCTCATTTATTGTATGGGTGTGCATGCCACCAAATGACGTATATGTGTGTGTACATGGGGGTATGTGGGGGATGGTATGTGTGTGCATGGGTTTATGTGTGAGGGCAGGAATGTGTGTATCACAGAACAAAGCAAAAAGAGAGAAAGGATTAGAGTCTTACTATGCCTTCCTATAGCACACATTAGGGGCCCATTTCCTTCTATGAGGTCCCAAACTAAAGTTTTCTTCATTCTTCATGACGAAGTCTAACACATGCACTCAGGGGGAACACTGAAGAGCAAACAGTAACACTTCTATATTAAATGTAAAATCACACCCATATCATCCAAGATGGTGGGTGAGTCTGGTGGCCCTACAGCCAAAGACTGTCCCACGTGGCCGAAAAGAATCTGCCTTAGGTAGACAGCCACGGGCCCTGGCTTTCATCTCTGGTCATGTTTCTGTAGGAAGATGACTTGGGACCTCTTGCATGATGAGGCATGTTCTTTGTCCGTAGAAATTTAGCAGGTAAGTATGCCTTCACAGATTCATGAGCAAACTGGCCTATTTGAGCCAAGTTTCATCTGTATTGTTTTGAGACCTCTCATCCATTCCTGAACATCTGTGCTCAGTGTTAACTATGCAGTCTGTTTTTTTTTTTTTTCTTGTCTTGTTATTTGGGAAAAGCTTTATTTGGTAGCAGAATTGTGTGTGCTATGTTTCCTTTCTATATAATTTGCTTAAACCCAAATGTCTTGGCCCACCTCCCCCCTTTTTTAACACCCCAGAGACAGATCTTTCCAGTGAGTCATGCCTCACCATCACCAGGAGAGACTGCTACTTGGCTGCAGATCTTGTCTTAGCAGAGGGAGATAGGAAGTGAGTTATCATGTAGTGTGACTCATTGGAGCTGTGGTTGGGGTGTGAGGAGAATGTGCTAGAAGGGAGTTGTGGCGTAAACCCCTCCACAAGGAGGAGCTTCATGGAGTTGGCCCAGGAGCCTTCTTTCCAGTGAGTAGTGCACATAGACCCTTCTCAGCATACTGACACACGTTTGACCCCAAATCTCATGCTTCTGTCTACCCAACATTGCCCTAAACCCTAGATCCTTCAGTTTGCTTTGGGAATGTTAGTCACCTGTATTCAAGTCATATCACTGGCCCAACCTAAGCAGTGATGATACATCTTCTTCTGGGGCCGTGCACACACTGATGAAATCTTTTAAATGAGAGCCATCTTAGAGCATCTTGTTGAGAGGAGGTGGAGGAGCCACTGGGAACCACACATCATGGGGCCCTCCGACGGGAGACTGTCAGAATGTGGCAACAGTCAGACAAGCTCCATGAATAGTAGAGAGCAAGGGTTTGCAAACCTACCATGGAGGAGGCGGAGCTACAGCTATGGGAGCGGTCTGGCTGGCTAGGCATCCAAAAGGAGGCTAAGAATAGCAACCATGCACAAAGCCACAGAGCCCCCTCCTCACCCTTTCCAGCTTTGTCCTAAGGAAGGCTAGCAGCGAAAGTAAATATTTATGTCCGAGCTAATTCTATTCCATTTTTTTTTTCTCTCATGGACTTATACAAAATGTTTTATTCACTTTCCAAATTCTTACTGAATGTGTATCACATGCCTGGTACACTGATAGGAGGTTTCTTGGTTCAGCCAGGTGTTTTTGGAGCATCGTCAATTGTGCTTTTATTGCTAAGACATCAGTGTAGGAAGGGAGCCTGTGCTGCCATGTAAGCACACACGTGAATGCACAATGCATACATATGTGCATATACACACGTATACATGCATATGTACATGAGCAGTCAGACAGACAGACAGACAGACAGACACCTTGGCACCTTACAGCTGCTTCTTCTTCATGATTATTTTAGAAAAGTAAACAGGCTGTCCAGAATTAATCTTAACATCCCCTTATAGGAAAGCATATATAAACAGAGTCGGTGCTTTCCACCACTGAGGACAAGTTTCCCATTCCATTTTACTTACTGAAGAGTTCAGAAAAGCAGCTACATCCGTTTGCTTTCTGTCACTGTGATTAAAACATTGACCAAAAGCAACTTGAAAAGGGAAGAGCTGATTTTAGCTTACAGATTAGCCCATCGTGGAAGAAAGCCATGCAGAGACTTTGGAAGAATGCTGCCCACTAGCTCGATCAGCTTGCTTTCCTGTACCACCCAGAACGGCTTACCCAGGGGTGGAATTGCCCACAGTACCCTGGGTACTCTTACATTAACTGCCAATCAAGAAAATGTCCCACAGAGAACATAGCTCTCTGGAGCCTGAATCTCCCTTCCTCTCGGGTTCCCCAGTATTGGGGGTCTGAGTCTTTTCCACCTTTCTACTTCTTCAAGTAACTTTTTGGCTTTCAGAATATGGAGAGGCAACAAGATACTTTACAATGTCCTAGAGAAATGAAAGGCACATGAGGAGCTGAGATGTAGGAGGTCCTTTGAAAGGACAGCTGTGGCTATCATTAGACAGAATACAAGTGAGTGAACATTGCTTGTTTTCCCATTTTGGGTAATTGTCAAGAGCAGCCTTCACTGTCAGAAAGATATCAGCCTGGGTCTTGCTGTGTGGCTGGTAGGGTTCGGCTTGACAGAAGAGCAAAGTGACAGCAGACCCAACCACGTGATGCAGAGGTGTTCACACAAGGACCCACCCTGGAGCAGGACCTGCACCACTGGCAATCCAACTACACATATGCATCGTGGGTGAATGGAGAGATGGAAGGTTGTCACCCAACACATAAAGACAAGTGCCAGGGGCACTGTGGGAAACAAGAGGCAAGCAGACCTTCTTGCTAGAGCTTAGGGAGGGGAAATGTAGAGAAAGCCATGGCAAAGGGGCGGCTCGGTAGAGGTCCTGGTCTGCACCCTACACCTGCCATTTACTCCACAAAGGCTTTGGTGCACGGAGGAGACCACACTTGTGTCTCAGATGTGAGTTGAGGAGAGGAACCCCCTGACACCCTTGGCAGGAAGAAGTGAGCAGCTGTGGCACCTTTGAAGCACTATGGAACTGTTGTTTGCCCCATTTAGGAGTGAAGAAGACATTTCCTAGAGGATCCCACAAGATGTCTAATATTGGATTACATGTTGCTCAAAAAGATGCCTCTGCAAGGCATTTTGTCATGGCAACAAACAAATAAACAAACAAGCAAACAAAAAGTAACTAATACAACCAGATATAACATCTTCAGGCTCTCCCGTGGTATAACACATGTCAGAATACTCAGGTCTGTACCTGGTGGCTCAGATTTGAAATGCAGGGACAATATAGCTATGAGTCTCACGCTTACTCATCAGGAAGAGAAGAGGTTCCGGCAGATGATGGGAAGGAGAAGTGAGAGAGCTGTGGCCAGAAAGATCTTTAAAATTACAGTTTGTGACTTCAGAAGGGGATTTGCCTCCAGCACCACCTTTCAGGATGCCTGAGGGGAGCATACCTTGAAAGCATGACCCAGAGATGACCAGTTTGTGTTTCAGTTTCCAGGAACTGTCTTCCCTAGAGGGGTCAGTCCCTGAGGTTTGTTGGGGGTTGGTCTGGTTCTCTGTACTGAATTCTGGGCTCTGAAATCTGGTTGCAGTCATGTACACTGATCGGTGTGTAAACTTTGCTCCTCAATTGTCTCTGATCAGTTAATGAAAAAGCTGGACAGCCTGTAGCTGGGCAGAAGAGTGGTAGGCAGAGCTTCTATTCCCGGTCTCAGAGTCTCAGGTAGGGACCACAAGGGAGGAAGGAGAGAGAGAAGTCAGAAGAGTAGAAGGAAGAAGAGGTAGAGAAAGTACATAGCCTGATGGAACAGTAACAGACCAGCAGGACCAATATGGCAAGTAACTTGGGGCGTGTAGCTGGGAAGGAGCTGACTAGCTTAGAGGATTAGCATAAATATATCATATCTGCCCAGCTATTGAGCCTAAAGCTTAGTAATAAATCTAGTGTCTCTGTGTCATTTTCTTGAGAGTTTGAGTGGGCAATTAGAAAAGCCCTCCCTCCCCAATATAAAGTATACCTTCAGCGGGTTGAGGAACTTGAGACGATTTTCTCCTGAGAAGTAAGTTCTTAACTGTCAGTGAGCACAGCCGATGGGAAGACAGGCCGCACAAGACCTGGAATCCACCAGTACAGCCAAGCACGAGGTCCCTAGACTTGGCAACCCGCCTGCTCCTGCTGTATGATATCAGACAGGTGTTTGCTCTCACCATCAAGACAGGTAGAAAGGTGCTTGGCTAGACCTGGGAGGTGGCATAGACAGAGAGAGGATGTCACTAAGCTGTAGGGGAAGAGCGAGGCTGATTAGTTCCAGAATGTGGGCCACACCCCAAAGGCCCTTTGAGAGTTTAGAAAACCAGAGGCTGCTGGGAGGTTGTGACACATACTTTTAATCCCAGCACTCGAGAGGCAGAGGCAAGCTTTGGCATATTTGCAGGAACCTCTTCAAGTGCCTGAATATATTTCCAAACAGGCTTTAAAATTTATTCCGCATTGTTCCCCCTTATGAAAAATGACCATTTATTTAAAAAAAAAAATTGTTTCAAGGTTGATAGGTACGTGTCTCCATGAACATATCTTTTCCTTGGGAATCTGACCTTCTCTACCCATCCCTGACCTTCAGCCTGTGTTGCGATTAATGAACATTTAAGATTGACACAGGCCATCACAGAACTGGGGGTGAAACCAGGGGCCCATACTTGGCTCTACGGTTCCTCCTATTTCTACTAGCAGTGCTTTGAATGGCCTGATTTGATTCTTTCTTCAAGGGCAACATCTGTAAAGGAGTCGGCTTCCTGTGAAATGGAGCTGACAGAGGTTACCCTGTCTGTTCCAGAGATTTGTGAAACTGAACGAAGAAAATGTAGATGGAAATCCTCTGTGAACAGCTGTGCTGCTGTCAGTCATCTAATTCACATGTTCTAGGCACCAACTATGTGCACAGCTCAGAGGTAGAGGGGGTGTAACCAGTCATCTCTTTGTAGTATCTAAGGGCTCCCTGCTTCCACATGCTTGCTGGGGAAACCATCTAGCTTCATCTAGCTTCGCTGGGGAAACCACTGGTCTCTAGGTCCTGGCTTTTGATAGCTCACTCATTTCAGGGAGAACTTTTCTGAAGGCCTTCTATTCTTCTCTTCCAAGCTTTCCCAAGAAGACCTGCTTTCTGGAACGGGATGCGGGACACAACTGGATGCAGCTCTTCCTTTGCCTGCGTTTGCATGGCATCACCAGTGGTAAGTATCACCACTCACATACGTGACCGTGTGCATGGGAAGGATGTTTGCAGTGAACCCCCAGCAGATGTTGCCACAGGAATTCTTCTCGGGATTGTCACACCTAAGACGTATTCAGTAACCCCACCTGCAAAATGGGGGATGATCAAAAGTTCCATGAATAGCATGATGGGAACATAGCTTTCTGTTATTGTAATAAACATCATGACCAAAAGCAATTGGGGGGAGGTATATTTGGTTTACACTTCCAGGTAACAGTCTGTTAGTGAGAAAAGGCATGGCAGTAACTCAAGCAGAAACAGAGAAAAGAACCATGAAGAAAGCTGTTTACTGGCTTATTCCCAGGTTTACATTCAGCTAGCTTGCTTATTCCATCCAAGTCCACCTGCCTAGGGATGGCACTGCCCACAGTGGACTGGTCCCTCCTACATCAGTTAGCAATCAAGAAAACGCCCTACAGACATGCCCCTACATCAATTGATGGAGGCAAGTCTTCAGTTGAAGGTCCCTTTTCCCAGGTGTGTCAAGTTGATGGCCAGGGCTGGCTTCACACTTGCGATGATTCCTGCCTTAGCCTCCGGAGTGGTGAGATTACAGGCCTGTGTAAGGCTCCCCCTTCTCATCCTCCTCTTTTCTCCTGAGACACAGTATCATACACCCCCAGGCCAGCCTCAAACTCAACACCCACCCAAGGATGACTGAATTTCTGATCTTCTTGCCTCCACCTCCCAAGTGCTAGGACTGTAGACATTTCCCTCACTCTGTTTGTGGGATACTGGCGTTCTGATCCTGCTGAGTTAGGCATGCTAGGCAAGCACTGCGCCACCTGAGCAGTAGGACGCTCATAGCCTAGGGCTGTTTCTTGCCGTCTGATTGAGTCACCCGCTGCAACATGGACTCAGCTTCTGGGTCGTTTGTTTGGCAGCTTGGGAGAGAAATTGACCCTCTCTTACAGGATTTCAACTGCTGGAACCATTTGTCCCAGCAGCTGAAGTGCATTCTGCTCCTCTCTGGAGAAGGGAAAACGGGTTTCCCAGATTCGGTATCATGGATCCAGCTCATTCGTCAGCCAGAACCCAGCTCTTGAAGAAATCTTTGGTGACTTCTGCTCAAAGTTTGTTGCCTAATTTGCAATGCCTAGCTTGGCCTGGCTCTTCTTTCCACGCGCCTGTGAGCTACTCTGACTTTGGTTTCTGGTGTGCTCAGGCTGAGCACATCAATCTCAGCTTTATTTCCTTCAGTGAATACGAAGCAAAGTATGGAGCAGAAGAGTTCACTGTTGTTTATCAGCTTTATTAATGGCAGAGCTGATGTGGTATAGCAGGCTTGGGGTTTGTGCTTTCAGTTCCCCTTTACGATACACACTGGGAGAGTTTCCTACACACTAACTCAGCGTTTCCCTCATTGCATAAACCCAGGGACTTTTTTTTTTTTTTTACATTTTAATACATCTGAGAGGCAGTGTTCAATGACTCCCAAAGTTCCAAATCTGTCCCAAAGCTAGGCATTTGTTGCCTGGACCTCATCCCCTGGGAGGAGAGAAGGTGACATGATTCGGAAAGAGGAGAAAACTATTGTCCACATGTTCTGAGTAGCCCAGGAGGGCCACTCACTGAAATAGCTGCACTTGAAGGGACTTTTTAGAACTATTTCAAAGCCATTTTCAGATCTTTGGATAGCCAAAAACTTGGGAGTGGCTGATGGAGTCAGGGAGCTCTGGCCAAGTTGCTTCTACATGCTCTAGAGACATTGATAAAATTACATCATGTTAACCCCAGCCCCTTGCCAGGCAGGGTTACAGCCAGGAGACTGGAAGGCTTGAACTATGGGGATGGTGTGTTCTGTAATATGAATATCTTAGGGACTCCGGGAAAGTGTAGGGGTGGGGGAGGACAAAAACAGAAGCAGGTCAATGGACAACCCACAGCAGTCAGCTCTCTCCCTTCAACCTTACAGATCCCAAGGATTTGAACTCATGTCATCAGGGTTGGCAGCAAGCACCTTTTTTCCCGAGTCATCTCACTGGCTGTTGTTTGTTTTGTTTGCTTTGTTTCCTGAAACAGTCTTATGTCACACAGGATGGCCTTGAACTTGTTATGGCTGGCCTCAAGCTTCTCACTCTTTTGTTTCCACCTCACAAGCACTGGGATTATAGGTGTGTATCACCAGGCCTGGCCAGAAGCAGATTTTAAAAGAAAAAAAAAATTTAATCATATAGGAGAAGGGAAGGGAAGTTGCCTATGGAATCCAGAAGAGGATGTAGGGTTCCTGGAGTTAGAGCTATATGTGCTTCTGAGCTGACTGATACAGGTGCTGGGATTGAACTCAGATCCTCTACAAGAGCAACAGGGACATTTAAGCACTGAGCCATTTCTCCAGCCCTGCTAGAAGAAGATTCTAATAGGACCAATGCGTAGCCTAAATAGTTGCTTCCCTTTTTTCTGTATTGTTTGTTTATAATAAAGTCAAGAGGGTGGAAAAACCCTGGCAGTGTGTGATGGATTGTTCAAAGGGAGAGAGAGGCCTTGCCTGGCCTGCTTCAGAGGCCCTAATGACAACCCTCCACTTTAGTTTCCTGACAACCACTGAAGGTTTAATTGGCAGTGATATGTTCTTGCAGGGATGTCGAGAACATGTTCTTTCAAAATAACTGAAATGCTAGAATTATTTGCATTTGTTTGTCTATTTGTTTGTTTGTTTGTTTGTTTGAATACAGATCTTACCAAGTAGCTGTGGCTGGCCTGGAGCTCACTGGAGTATACCAGGTTGGCCTCAGACTGACAGAGGTCTTCTTGCCTCTGCCTCCAAGTGCTGCCCTTAAGGACATGAGCCACCCTGTCTGGCTAACTTAAACTTTAATAAACAGTACATACTATAAGAAAATTTTCATTAAATTGAAATTGCCCTCCAGTTTGGAGTGATTTACTTATTCGTTTTGAAGCTTCTTTGTGTGTGTTATATGTGTATGTGTGTATATTCATGTTCACAGTTGGTGTGCATTTGTGTGTTCATGTAGAATTTGACAGCATGTCTTCCTTATTGTTCTTCACCTTATATATTGAAGCAGAGTCTCTCACTGAACTTAAAGCTTACCAATTGGGCTGGTCTGTATATATATGTATGTGGCTTCTGCATACAACCATAGTGACTCTTAGGTGTTACCTTTCCATTTTATGGACACACATTTGAAGGACATTAGCCCTTTCTCATTGCCTGATGTCTCCCTTTAAGTCAGACTTTTGAGGTTGGGTTCTGAATAAGCCTGTAACCACTTCCCCTTGTGTTTCTCTAAGGCAGGGATCTGGAGGAGTTAAGGCACATTAATTTCTTCCCCGAGTCCTGGCTGGTCCGGGTCACAGCCAACCATTATCACGCAGTGAGTCGGCTTCCCAAGGAAGCAATTAGCAAAACGTCTTGCCTCCCCAGCCTTGTATTTTCTGGAGATACGTTCCTCCTTTGAAATCTCTGGGGTCAGGGCACATCTGGAGCCTCCTCCAGGGGAAGGGGAGGGGATGAAGTTCCACATGGCCTCTGATCTGGAAACTTAGCCAGGGTTGAAGAGCTCTGGCCACACCTTCCAAACCCAGACCCTATGAGACACAGATATAAATGTGCTTATTGTTGAAACTGTTCAGACTGCACAGACAAGAAATCCCCTTAGACCATCACCCAAAGACAACAGCCGCAGTCAACACTTTATTGTCTCTGCTGCCTTTCAGTAGGGATCACATTGTTACTTTTCTGTACTTTGAATTATTTGCTTGTAGGAGACTGTCCACAGTAGAAATGCTGGCACCATAACATATGTACAGTTTTGCTCCTGGTACATACTAATAAATGTTGGGGCCAAATGACTCTGCCCCCAGAAAGAAATTAACTCACCCCGCTGTACACACACTTGGCAGCGTAGGACATTTACATTTCAAATCACTTTTGTTAACTGAGGAGGGAACAATGAGAGTCCATCTTTAAATATGCATTTCCTTTATGACTGGCAAACATCGGTAGTTTTCCACGTGTTTGCTCTGTGGATTGTTCATACAAACTGCCCTGCTTCTTTTACATTTCCAAGGGCACATTTTCAGAGATGAAGCAGAGCAGTGTTTGAATTCTGAAAGACGTGTGAGTCATGAGTTAAAGTTCAGCCAGCTCCACAAGTACTTATTGTGACGTTGGGACCAGCCCTCCCAGCGCCCTGCTCTCTGCACACTGAAGGATGACTCCATGGCAGGCTCTTGCTTCCCTAGGACATGATTCAGAACTCTGGTCTAAAGTGATCAAAGAGACTGACAATGAGAAAATTCTCAGCTCCATCTCCCCCCTACCCCACTCCCCTGCTGACCCTGCCCAATCCTTCCTTTCACCCTTGGCTACAGATCATGCTCCTGAAATTCATACCACACTTTCCAGTCTTCTCCGTGAAAGGTCACGCAGGGGTCCTGCTCACTATTGAATTTGTGACCATGGTCATTTCCACAACGATGCTATTAACCTATGTCTTTTCTCCCCCTGCTTGGTCATTTTATTTCTTCTCTACATACTCTGGAAACACTGGAAATGGTACTTGAATATAGTAGGTTTTCAATAAATGTCTCAAGACAAAGCCATGGGATTTGGGGATCCAGGAGTGGATGGGGAGTCATGAGGAATGCTCCTGTCCACACATCGGGTAAGCTGTGTGCATTTCCCTTCCAGCTGGAGAACGGGGGCAACATGATTCACCTGAAAGATCTTTCTACACAGGCCCTGAGGTTCGGGCTGGTCTTTAGGCAGGTACTGAAAACTTGACCCAACCAAGGGGAAGGGAAGTCCCTTCTATGCTGAGTGAAGGAGCTCAGTGGGACCATCCATGATTGCTAATGACCTCCGGTAGGAGATCCAGCAAATTGAATTCATAATACAAGGGGCTGGAACAGACCAGTCAGCATGATGTGTGTGGTCCAAATTTTTCCACTAGGGTGGCCCACTTTTCCCAAGATGGAAAAGATTTCATGGGTGTTGACAGTTTTCTTCCTAAAAAGCTGGAAGTATCTGGAGAAACCATGGGCTGATCAACCCCACACAAGGCATAACAGCTAGCAAAGGCTCAGGAGTCTCCAGTCCACTTTCCAGTTGAAAGGGACAAGGCCTGCCTCATTCTAGTAGCTGGTTCAGTGTATCTCAATCCAACTATGGCTAATCTAGGAGCTCCAGTGTGGGGCATCTCAGTGCATAGTCATGGGACAGGGTCTGGGATTGGTGGCTGTGCTCTGTTGGGATAGGGCTTGTTGTAATAGACATACGTTTTTTTAAATAAATGCTGCTGTGTGACTTTTTAAAGGTAATTAGTGACCTTAAAAGAATCCATGTTTCAGGGACCTGGGACCTATGTCTATCATCTGAGGGACTGATTTGGTACCTGTTTTCAGTGCCCTACCAAAGCAGTAGAATAGAATGACGTATCTCCTAGGTCCATTAGGTTGGAATAAAATGCACTGTGCTATATGGGCCATTTGAGACCAAATGTAACCCGTTACTTCTTCCCCAAAGGACCAGGCAAAATAATGATTAGAAATGTTAGAAGGAGTTAGTAGCTGTTTCTGAGCAGTGACAGTTTTTGAGTGAGTCACTTTGATTGTCACTAGAGTCATTCTTGCTGCATCCTCATATCTTTGAATACTGGTGGTATCTACCCTTTCAACTCTGTCGCTTCTTCCCAATGCAGGAATACATCGCTTACTCAGAAAAGATTTATTTATATGGATACTTCTTTGAGATAAAGGGAATCAAACATGATACTACCTCTTACAGTTTTTTTATGAAGGTAAGAAAGCAAAAGCTTTGGAAAGGCCACCCAGGGCCACCTGATTCATACAGAATTAAGAGGAACTGAGGCATCATTACTTCATCATTCATACAGCCTGTGTCATAAGCACTGCTCTTGCTCATGTATGTGATGCCATGTGATTTCCGTAACCAGCTGGGAAGGTCGGTTCTGGCAGTAGATGAGATTGCCAACTCTGAGTGACACCACTTTCATGTCAAATGTCCTCTTGACAAAGCCAGGGTTCCGTGTGTCTGAACTGGGAGTCAAGTCATCATCAGTTTGTACATAATGGCTGATACTTGGCCCATGTTCACGCTTTGAGGAAGAGACAGGTAGTGCCCACCAGTAGCAAAGGAGTCTGTCTAGAACGACACAACGGGACAGTGTGCAGGATGTCATGAGCCCTCAGGAGAGGTTGAAGAAAACCACGTAAGGGCAGAGAATTGCAGTCAGACTGCCTCGTGGGCTGCTTGTGCTATATACCCCCAGCCCAGCACTGCATATGTTTAGTATTTAAGGGTGGTGACAATGATGACTATGGTGAAGGACTGTTGTATTCCACTTAGGATTGGCTTAGAAATCACTCCCCTCTAAATGCCAAGCTCCCTGAGAAAGCTCTCTCACTTGGCTTTTTATTTTCACTGCCAGTCACCATGCCGAGAACCTAGGAGAACTTCTTTCTTAAAAAATATATTATTCTCCCATACAGTACATCCCAACAAGTTTCCCCTTTCTCCACTCCTTCTAGCTCCCCCACCCCCACCTCCAAACCTAGGGAAACTTTAAATGATTGACAAAAATAGAGGATGATTGACAAAAATAGAGGATGCATACATGAATGAAGGAGCAAATGATGAAATCTGACTGTTAGTCCCAGTTTGGCTCCTACCTTCTAATGTGTCCCACAGGAAGTCCCTTCTCTTTCTTGGTCCTTCCTTCCTGTTCACTAGTCCCTAGGGCATCTTCCTAACTGGATGGAAGAGATGGATTAGGTAACACCACCAATCAAAATGTCCTTATGTATATCCTGTTGGAGCTTTATCCCAGCAAAGCAATGCAAAAAACCCTAGTCCATTGAAACTGGTTTGCATACAGAGAGGTCTCAGATGTCACAAGGTTCCAGCAGCGGCCCTCAGGAAATTACCCCATTTGGAGAATGGCCTCATGCTATCTGCATACACTTGAAACAGAAAGTCTATGCAGCAGGAACTGTTAGCTCTGGTCACCCTGGGCACGGGGCTACATGGGATGGGCCACTCTCTTTGCAGAGAATAAAACATACAGACTTTGAGTGCCCATCTCCAGTCTGCGAACACAGTGTCATCAGCCTGAAAGCTGAGCGCCTGGTGAAGTACGAGATCAGAGCCCAGGTGCTGGTCGAAGGCAAGTGGCAGGAGTTCAGGACAAACCAGATCACGCAGAAGTTTGGGTTCATCAACCCGAACAGCAAAAGCCATGTGAGCATCCCCACTGGACTCTGGCTTTTCTCTTTCTCTTCTGTTTCCTTTTTGCTCCTTCTCTCCCTCACCACTTTTGGGGCATTCCTATCTTAGAATCGCCAGCGATCTATGAGAAGATTGTGTTCAGTTCTTTAAGGATTCTCATGGTTCCAAATGACGCCAAAGAAAAACCTTCTAAAATGAAAAGCAGCAGTTGTGGATGACTCTAACAAATCAAATGAGGGTCACAGCAGACCCATTTTGTAAATGTCAATAGGTATGTGTGTATAGACCCAAGGACTCACAACCCATCTTTTGAAATCCTTCCCAGGCTACCTGCCTCCCTCTGGCTTACCCAGAGCCCATCAACCCTGGAGTGGTACCAATATCTAGGCAGACTTAATACCTGCCTGGCTTTTAGCAGCTACAGCCCCCAAATAGCCAGAGAACCAAAAGGGGGCTATGGGTTTGAGGTTGGGCCTCACACTGGTACCCTTGGGAATGGAGCTATATGACAAGCCACAGAATCATTTTCAGCCCTGACCCTGGGGACACATTAGAATGACCTGGGGCTTTGAGATGGCCCTGTTGGAGATCAGGAGACGACATAAGCGAGGAGACCAAATGCTTCACAGATGTGGCCCAGTTTTAATGCTTAAAGAGGCTTCCCAAGGTATTCCCTGGGGGCTGGGATCAGCACAAACTTTAGAGTGTGTTAACTGGAAAAACCTGTTTCTAGTTGTGGTGTGGCTCATCCCTAGCACACACCTTTAACCCAAGAGCTTCTGCTGCTTGAGTTTTGTAAACAAGATTAAATAAAGTTAACCCTAGAGCTAGCTACCAGTTGACAGGGAATATATATATATATATATATATATATATATATATATATATATATATAAGCATAGAGATTAAGAGGAAGTCAGAAGGACGAAGAGAGATGTACAGGAAGTAGAAGGGAGGGACATTCAGTTTGAGGGTATTTTGGAGACAGTGTGGGGAAGGAGGATTCTTTTTTTTTGGGGGGGGATGCCAGTTGAGAAGAAAGGTCAGATGGGTATTTTCTCTGCTTCTCTGTGCTAAGAGGCTTTCACCCCAGAATCTGGCTCCTGAGTCTTTATTGTTAAGATGGAACAATTGAGATTTTGTTTAAAAATAACAAGGTAATCTCTATTTGGGAGGCCGGGAGAGGGCTAGGCTGATGGTGGAAATGTGAAGGAAGCCTTGATGGCTGGAAATGTGCTACACCTTCATCGGGTGACAGCACAGGTGTAGCCTTATGACAGCTCCCGAAGATTTATACACTTTATTTGAAGTATGCCAAAAATGTTGTTTATTTATGCTCTCCATGGGACATTCTGCTGTAGGCAGGGTTGGAAACCAACAGCTTCTGCACCTGTCTTTGGCATAGCATCTTCATCCCGAATGTCTTATTTATCTCACTTTGTTTGTTTCTTTCTTTCTTTTTAGGTCTTGAAAATCCAAACTGTGGGCATCCCAATCTATGCCAGCTTTGCATTCATCTTCCCAGCATCCTGACAATATTCAGAGGAATCGATGGTGTCACCTGCCCTGACCCACCTGTCTACATAAGAGGAAATAAAAATGACATTAAAGAGGGGAGCCCAGGGTTCAGCTGCGTGTGCTTATTAGTGCTCATCAGTTCTTCGGGGTCCTCTGCTCGGGCGCTCACATTATAGCTTTGTGGCAATCTGGTACTGTTTTAATCCACAGAGATGATTGGGGAAAATTAATGTTCAAGTTCACACGGGCTATCGACAGGCTAATCTTCTCACAGCTGCATGACCAAGAGTCTCACACGATCTCCTGCATCTGGGGGGACATCCCGTCCCCTCTGGGTTAGAAGTTCAGACACATGCTGCACCCTTTCCTAGAAGAGACCATCGTACAAAGGGTCACCTGTGGGTGTGTCCACCTCTCCCTGCCCCCTGTTTTCTTTGAGAACACAGAGAGTTGATGGTGTTGTACAAACCGGCCGTAAGGTGGGTACACTCAGTCTGACGGCTGCTGTGGGTTGGCACAAAGCCCAGGGAGGTTTCTTTCCAACAGGAAAGCTCAGGAGGCTAGAAGGAGTGATGGGAACATGGAAGGTGGTCCTGGGGGAAGACTCAGAGCAAAAGATCTGTATTTTGGGAGCCTGCTTCTGGGTCTGTCACCTCCTCTCATGTTCCAAACTTCTCCACTGTTGCTCCTATTCAGGTCCAGTCAATGAGAAACAGTAATGGGATCTGGGGAGACAAAAAAGGAGAGAAACCAGCGTAGCTATCACCTCTGGACCCATGGGACATCTTTCTGTGGTGACTGTGTCCCTCGATGGTTTCAGCTTGCTCTGGCACCTCCATTTGTAACCCTAGTTCCCACCCAGCAGTTTCCTGCCACGATTTCAAGGTCTAGTGCAGGCCCCTGGTGCTTGTTCTAATATTAGTTATGTCAAATTGTGTCCTACTGACCCTCAGGGGATGGAGGCACCTGTCAAGTAGTTCTAGGCTAGACTGATCTCTGCTCGGCCGGGTAGCTCTTGCTTTGCCAGCATGATTGGGTTGCCATATTGTATTTACACTTTTTCAACCTGGGGGTCGTTTCAGTTTTCCAGCCTACACAGCAAGGGTTTGGTAGAGTTGTAGATATGTGTAACACACATGGATATTAAAAAGCATGGCTTCCATAATCCAGATTAGGGTGAGGACCAGTGAGACACGCACTCAGGCACTAAGTCTATGGGATGTCACAGCCCCACAAATGCTCAGTAACCCAGATAATTAAAACCAATGCAAAAAGAACCCACTATGATACAGATGGATGAACTGTTGTAAGGTGGACACTTACATGACCAGTGCCCACATCAAAACATAATGGTCAGGTCCTGCATGCCCCAGCCGGCCTCATTTAGGCTCCCCCACACCCAGCAAACACTTCCCAGACTCCTAACACCACCAACTCATTTGGCCATCAAGTCTGACTGGCTATTTTGCAAATAGAAACACACCTCAGCCATTGTACAAGTTACTTTTCTTGTTGCTGTGATCAAATACCTGAGGGAAAAGACTTAAGTAAGAAAGGGTCTGTTTTGCCTCACAGTTCAAGGGTGCTGGGGGGAGTCAGGATGTCTGGAACTTGAGGCGGCTGCTGATGAATGCTGGTGCCTAGGCACTCTCTCCTTTCTCTCCCGTCTCCAGACCCATCACCCCAGCCCATGGGTGATGATGCCCACGGTGGGTCTTCCCACCCCAGTTAACCTATACTAGAAACTTCCTGAAAGACACCCAGGTGCTCATAGGTGATTCTAGATCCTGTCAGGCTGACAATCCATATTCACCATCACAGGTGTCCTTTGTGGCCTCACACTGTCATCCAAGAGCACATCTAAGAAATTTGACCACAGTTGCTTGGAGGTGCAGTTTACCAGACAAGCATGGGAATTTTATTCCTTAGAAAATCAGAGTTACAGGGGCTGGAGAGATGGCTCAGAAGTTAAGGGCACTGGCTGTTCTTCCAAAGGTCCTGAGTTCAATCCCCAGCAACCACATGGTGGCTCATAACCACCTATGGTGAGACCTGGTGCCTTCTTCTGGCATGCAGGCACTCATGCAGGCAGAATACTGTATAAATAATAAATTTTTAAAAATCTTTTAAAAATGGCAAACAGAAAATCTGTGTTACCTAGTAAGAGGTTGCTGAAGAACAATAAGAGAAAAAAAAAAAAAACAACATAGAATGGAGGTGACCACCATCACTGAAGGGTTATGAGGGGAGACCCTCTGGCATGGTTTCTGGGGCTTTTTGAGTTTCTTTTCTTCCTCCCCCATCCCATTCAGAATGGTTTACGCAATGCACGGTGCAGGAGATCTTTGGGTGATGCTAGAAAGAACTGCAGTCTAGAAGCTTCCATTCCTCAGTGAGGAGCCTCACACACACATTTGTCTTTCTTCCCAATGCTCCCAAACCCCCATAAAACAATAGGTTTGGGAGTCTATTTGCCACCATGGGTGAAAAGAAGGAAAAAAAAATCATCCTCTAAAACAAGAACTATTTGCTCTAATTCTGAGAATCCACTCCTGTCCACCAGAGGGCACAGTTAACTTCAAATTTGGGAACCAGAATTTTAGTGGCTGAAATCGGCAATCTAGAAAAATTCACAGTCCTAGTTAGCATTAACTGTGAGCTTGACCCAGTCTAGAGAAAGGAGTCTCTATTGAGAATTGCCCAGATAAGATTGGCCTGTGTGCATGTCTGTGGGGCATTCTCTTCCTTTTAGTTGATGTAGAAGGGTCCAGCCCATTGTGGGCAGTCTCCTTCCCTGGACAGACAGTCCTGGGTTCTGTTAGAAAGGAGTCTGTGAATGAGCCAGAAGGCAGCATCCCTCTGTAGGTTTGGCCTCAAGGTCTTCCCGGAGTTCCTGCCCTAACTTCTCTCAATGATAGACCTGATAGTTTAAGTCAAATACACCTTTTCCTCTGCAAATTTGCTTTTGGTCATAGCAACAGAAATGAAACTAGAACACGCTCCTTGCAGCCCTGCTTCCTCCTTGCTTAATGGTTGAAAATGAAACTAGCACATCTAGGGGGAGAGGCAACCAATGCAACCTTACGGTCTCTGAACTTGGGAAGTGTAAGCCTTGAGTGAAAAAATTCTCACGAGCTCTTCTTCTGAGACGAAGCTTCACAGACAGGATTCTGTGGCCCATGGTTACAGAATCAGTAGTCACTGGCCCTGGGCAGTGCTGTAGCCTGCATGCTGCTTCTGGAACCGACTCTGCTTGCTCCTTTCATCTTTCACCTCATCTCCTGGGCCCTTAAGGAAGGAACTGGGAAGTTGGTCCCTGATTCACTTGGTGCACAGCAACTCTTAGATTCTAGCTGACCTAGATCTGGGTCCTAACTAGCTGTGTGGCCTTAGGCAAGTGAGCTAAACTCTCAGCCTCAGAATCCAACCTGATGCTGGAGCTGGTGGTATAAAATAAACCAATGCTACTTTTCAAGCACCTAAACATGTCATAAACAATTAATAAACTTGCTGCTTGGAGTCACTGTGTACTTGCTGAAGGTTGAGACTGATGCCATGTGAGCTTGGGGACCTGCTTGGGGCCTGCTTCACTGACGTAGAATGAGATGGTTGGATGAGTGGCTCCCTCAGCTCTTTCAGGCTGCAGTCAGAGATGGTAATTTTGAGAGTGGAAGAGCAGCTGGGCCAGTGGAGCAGGCATGGTGACGCTAGGGAAGTAAACACCGGCTTTCTTTACCATGGGCTTGTCAGAATAAGAGTGCATTGTGGGTTGGGAAGATGGCTCAGTGGGCCAAAGTGCAAAGCCACACAAGAATGAGAGTTGAGTTTGAATCCTCAGAACCCACATAAAAAGCCAGATGTAATGGTAGATACCTGTAATTCTACTACTGGGGAGACCAACACTCAGTACCTAGCCAAATGAGTGAGCAATCCTGTCTCAAGAAAAAAAAAAAGTAGAACTGAATATGTCTTTAACCCCAGAACTTGGAAGGTAGAGACAAGTAGATCTTTGTGAGTTCAAATTGAGGTCAGCCTGACCTACATAGTGAATCCCAGAGTTGCATATTAAGACCTTGTTTAAATGTCTAAATAAATAAATTTAGACACATACAGAAGGAAAGAGAAGAAGAAGTATAAAAGGAGGAGGAGGAAAGGCTAACCTCAAACTTAGAGATCCACCTGCCTCTGCCTCCACGTACTAGGTGCTACAATTAAAGGCATAGGCCACCGGTGACTCCAGGCTCACCTACCTCCTTTTGGAGATATCTTATTATGTAGCACAGGCTAGCCTGAGACTCACAATCCTCCTGCATCAGGATTACAGGGCTGCACCACCACGTTTAGCTCCCTCCCCTCTTCAGCGAGGCTTTGTGTCCTGGAGACCATTTTGTCTTGCAGTACCAGGGAGAAAGAGGAAGCTTTCCTAAACCTAGGATGGGGAAGGAACTGCTCTCAGGGGATGGGTAGGCTGCTGACCACAGGGAGGATGGCCAGATGGGCCCCACTTTTCCTGCAGGATGAACGTGGGATGTGAGGTTCTGTTGCACAGACTTGAGGTTTTGCCAGCTGACAGACGAGTCACTTCTAGAAAAAGAGAGAAAATTCCTGAGGACACCCCAAAGCAGGACTAACCAAAGGAGCTTCCTATGTTGATGAGAATACCGTATGTCTGTTCTACCCAATGTGGCAGTCACAAGCCATGCGTGGCCACTTGAGGGCTTGCCGGGGGGCTTCTGCAACACAGAAGCTGGGTTTTGACTTTTCTGTCATCTTCCTGTATGTAAGTTTAAATAGCCATTGGTGGGAGTCAAAGAAGAGACAGCACTGTGCTCACCCTGGAACAAGGACGTGCTCTCTCTGATGCTGTACTCTCCAGGACTCAGGACCCTCTGTCTCCCTGGATAAGTGGAACCAGCCATGCTTCAGGCTCAGTTTGCGGCCACCCTAAAATCTCAGCTGGACTGGAAGGCCACTTCCCAGGAGCCAGAAGTTGTGCACCAGGCCAGAAAAGCAGAGCTCAGTCTGTCTTGGAATATCACCCTGCTCTTTTACTTGTGTGTATGTATATTTTAAGTACATCAAAATAGAACAGAATAGAATGTTGCTTGTCAATCATGTCTAGTAACCAGGTACACACAGCTAAGGGCTATCACGTGAGCAGGGCAGAAACAGGAGAGAAGGCACCATTGATGCGCCTCATGATTCCGAGTCATGCAACCTTTGTGCTCTTGATCCTTGACCACTCACAGATATGTGAATTGCAGCCGGGCCAAGAGTCAGGGTTGCAAAGGTGAGCAAAGGGCAGTCCCTGCCAGTGTGGAGCCCCAGGGTCTGGAAAGGACAGTTGTGAATGCAGTTACAGCACTGAGGATAGTCGGGTGAGCTGATGAGAAGGCAGCTTTTTGCAACTGTAAAGCAAAGAAAGGAGCCTAGACCCTGTGGTGGGTTCGAGGCGCAAAGGAGGGCCCTCCACAGAGAAAGGATGCTTAATCCAAGATCAGAAGTAGGAGTAAGAAGTAGAGTAAGCTTATGGGAGGTTGGGGGGAACTTGAATCCTTACACACTGCCAGTGGAAATATATAAAATACAATATGAAATGTAAGGCAGCGGTTCCTCCTAGAATGACCTAGGCACACACCCATGAGAAACTAAAACACATGTCCACATAGGCGCTTACGCATGAATGCTCATACCAATATTATGTATAACTTCCCAGAGGTAGAAAACCTAAATATGCACCCGTAAGTGAATGGATGGAAAGATGAGATGGGGAAAGCCACACAATGAAATGCTATTGATACTGGGGGTATGGCTCAGCGGCAGAGCATGGGTTTAGTATGCTCAGGGCTCGGTCTTAATCCCTGACAAAAATACAGGGATGGAGGACCTGTCCACACTACATGGAAAATCTCTGAAAATAGCATGCTGACTAAAAGAAACAGTCACCAAACCCACACTTTGTGTGATTTTGTTTCTAGAAAAATGTCCAGAGCTGGGTGTGGTGGTACATACCTGCAATCCCAGTTCTGGAGAGGTAGAGGCAGGAAGAGCAGGAGTTCAAGACCAACCTTTAGCCATATAACAAGTTTGAGGCTAGCTTGAGCTGCCTAAGATCCTACCTCAAAAATAAACCAACAACAAAAACAATCAAACAAAAAGAAAATGCTAAGAGTCAGGGCTTCTCTAAACAGAAAGCCAATTAGAGGGTTTTTTTAAGTGCTGAGGAAGGGAGGGAAGGGAGACCAAAGGACCCAGGTTTGTTTCTGAGGTGAGGGAAGCATTCTGTAACTGAGCGTGGCGACAACTCCTGGCTCTAGGAGTGCGCTGACCATCACTGACCTGCGCATTTGAATGGGTATGTCCTGTGACATATGACTCCTACCACTGAAAGCTGAGGGAGAACAAAGAAGAGGAAGTGAGGAACTCAGAAGATTCTAGTCCAGGTGACAGCACATTCAGGGAAGCCTTCAAAACACACAGATCCTTCCTGGGTTGCCAGGGCCATCAGAGCCAGCAGTGGGAAGCATGAGTGATGGGCTTTGAGGATCCTGGAAGGCAGTTACCTGCGCTAAGCTTTGATTTCTCTTTGAAGCACGCGTCTTCCCTGATTACACGTGCACTCTTTTCTATTGTGTGGCCATAGTGAAATGCCTTTCTGGACGGCCATTCAGCAAAAGGTATGGAGAGAGGGAGCAGTGTCAAGTTTTTATGGCAACCTTAGCAGAGGGAAAGAACTTGGGAAGGAATGATGTCCCTGGGGCTCAGGCTTTGCTGTGTCCAAAGCCGGGGAGGATCTCTCTACCTCCCTGCATCATCCTTTAGTGTGTTTTGGTCACAGATGGCCACTCAAGGGACAGCCTCCCCTTTCACACCCCATCATATTTTGCAAACTGTTCCAGAAGTGATTTACCAGCTCATACAAAGTTAAATATTCAGGAAAGTGGCTGGCCGCCTTTTGTGGGCCCATATGGCTGCTTATTAGAAAAGGGCATGGGGGGAGGGGCTGAGGTTCAGTTGGTCAAGGGGAGGGGAGAGGAAGGAAGGGGAAAGAAGAGGGAGGGGAGAGGAGGAGGAGAGGAGAAAGGAGAAGAGGAGGAAGGAGAGGAAGGGAGGAGAAAAGGGCTTAGGATGTCAAGTCCTGTGGCAGATCACAGTGATAATGGCCCCAGTGAGTCACTCAGCCTTGGATCAATACCCTGGTTCTCTAGCTCCACCATCAATGGATAGATTCCATTTCTAAACCCTCTCCAGTCTGGGCTGCACCTGGGGCTTGACTCAGCCGGCAGGCTTTTGCAGAATTATGAGCACAGGAACCAAGGAATTTGGGGTCCGGGAGCCATGCAGCCCCTGTCAGTGTCCTCTGGGGATCTTGTGCTCACGAAGTGCCTGCTAGACGCTTGAGCGCCGTGTAAAGGAGAGCCGTGGGGAGGAAAACCAGGTGCTTCCGTCCAAACACCAGCACCAAACTGCCTGAGAGAGCCCCCCAGTCAGCACCCTCCAGTGGAATGCAGTCTGGTCGTGATGCCAGGGGAACTCTGCAAAGGATCTCTCCGGTTTACCTCTCAGAGTCATCAACAAATCAGCCTTGGTCTACAGAGTGAGGTACAGAAAGGCTAAGGGCTGTATAGTGAGACCCTATCTAAAAGACGAAATAACATTTTACACACACACACACACACACACACACACACACACACACACACACACACACTTTTGGAAGCTTCCCGTGGTAATACCTTTTGGATTTATTAATTAGATAGCCTCTAAACTGTGTAACTGTGCCTGCCTAAATATGAATATCTTAAATATTTGAATGTGAAAATATTGGTCCACAAGGTGTGTAACACTTCATTTTGTTATGTGAACTATCTCTAAAGCCAGGATGAGCATTTCTCTTCCCACTGTCAGAACTGATCCTCAGCGAAGCAAACGCGGCTCCCAGATTTATTTCACCTCACCGAGTTCCTGGTTTTCCACCCAGACCCACATTTTCCCCTGACCTAGTTCTCACCCAACCAAGAGTGTGTGACTCGCTCTGCTCCAGGGAGCACTCGGGCAGGAGGCAGGCGGAGACATCTGTGGGTGGCAACAGCAGCACGGAGCCTGGTGAGGAGGCTGCACGGGATGGCAGCTGGAGCACCGGTTGTCACCAGGGAGCTTCTTGCCCAGTGATTAACTTTTCTTTAATTCTAGAATCCCTGAACATCAGCCTGCCTGCTGACCCAGCCAGCTTCTCCTGAGTCACCGGATGTCTCAGTGAGGCCGGAGCATGCATTATTCCTACCAGGTTTGACTGCTTGTCCACAAGTCCTTGAGAAAAATGCATAATGCCTCTCAACCCCCTCCAATGCCATTTAAATATTGAATTAACAGTGCCTTACTTAAGACAAGTCAATATTGACTTAATAGCCTTGCGGGGGTAGGGGTGGGGATGGTGCTTGGGAGAGGCCTGGCACAGTGCCAAAGAGACAAACCCGTTTTGCTTGCTGTTGGATCAAGACTGAGGGTCCCCTGGACGCGGCGCAGCTCTCTGTCTCCCGAGGTAACGAGAAGGTTATGCACTCCTGGGCTAATTGAGAAAATCATTGACTAAGCCACCTGTGAGACGCTGGGCCAGGAACCTTTGGACTGTCATAAAGGCTGGGGGGAGGGGAACATTGGAGCCAGCTGTGGCCTGCTTGCCTCTATTCTTCTAATGTGGGTCACTTCTTGAACTAGGACAGTCTGCAGGTGTTCTCTTTGTGCTCAGACGAGGAAAACAAAGGGCTGCTCTGGGGCTGGAGGAGAAGTGAATGGGAGGGAAGCCGTCACTTTGCTGAGTTGCAGGGCCTGGGCCTCCGTTGGCTGCATTAGACTCTGTTAAGTTGGAATCACACAGCTCTGCAGGCACTTGGCTTCCTCAATACTTTCTGGCTGGGTGACTTTCGGCCAATTGCAGAACCTCTTTGAGGTTTAGCGTCTGAACCTCGAAGAGCCACTGTGAGGATAGTGAAGGATGAAGAAGGCTGTGTGGGAGGAAGAATGATGGCTTCGAGGATACCCCTGTGTCCTCATCCCTGGAATCTGTGTCCTATGTGCTCTATGTCACCCCTCCCCCTCCCATCCAAAGGCCAAAGGGCAACCTGGGATGTTGTTGGAGATACAATTTCACTGAACTTGGAATTTGCCCAGTAGGCTAGATTGGCTGGCCATCAAGGGTCAGGGATCTGCCCATCTTTTTCCCTATAACACTAGCATTACAAGTACACACCACTGTACCTAGCTTTTTAGTTTGTTTGACTTGGGTTTTGTTTTTTTGTTTTGTTTTTGTTTGTTTGTTTGTTTTTGCTTTTGTTTTTTTGAGCCAGGATTTCTCTGTGTAGCCTTGGCTGTCCTGGAGTCGCTTTGTAGACCAGGCTGGCCTCAAACTCACAGAGATCTGCCTGCCTCCCTGCGTGCTGGGATTACAGCACGCACCACCACCACCACCTGGCATTTTTATATGGCTGGGTTCTGGGAGCGAATGCAGGTCCCTGTGCTAGCAAGGCATGGACTTTCCTGCCCGGGTCATCTCCAAGCCCCACTCAGGGATCTTTTCTAAAAACAATTTTATTATTATTAATTTGTGTGTATGTGTGTATGTCTGTTAAGAACTAAAAATAGATGAAGCAGGGGGACAATCGACATTCTCTGCGAGAGGTTTATTAGGGGGGTATGAGGGAAGTGGGTAGCAGGGCATGGTGGGGAGAGAGAGAAGGAAAAGGGGGATGGGGAAGGGGGTGCCCCAAAAGAGAGAGAGAGAAAGAAAGAGAGTGCAAGAGTAAGAAGGGGCAAGAGTAAGAAAGAGAGAGACCACGTGTTGGATCGGCCCTTTAAGTCGGAAGGTAACCACACCTTCCAGGTATGGCCACGACACGATGACGTCATAGGTCTCTGGGTAACACAGATTGTGATCCAAAATACTAACAATGTCTGTGTGTGAGGTCACATGGGATGTCAGATTCCATGGAGCTAGAGAAAACAAGCCTATGTGAGCTACCCAGTGTGGGTGCCGGGACTTGAACTAGGGTCCTCTTTGAGAACAGTATGCTCTTAACAACTGAGCCACATATCCTGCCTTCACACAGGGAGCTTTACAAGAGGAAGGTAGGATGTCTGAGACGAAGAAGGCAAGAAGATAAAGACAGAGGTGCAGTGATGTGGCCTCAAGCCAGGGAATGTGAACCCTCTGAACATTTCAAGAAGCAAGCAACAGATTCCTACCTAGAGGCCCAGGAGGAACCAGCCCAGACGTCTTGACTTTGGCACAGTGAAACTGGTTTTGGACTTGCACCCTCCAAATGACAAGATAATTAACATGTAGGGTTTTTTTAAAAAATATTTATTTATTTGGTGGACTATTTGCACAGTGCACATAGAAGTCAGACTTATAGGAGTGGCTTCTCTCCTTCCCTGAGGGTCCGAGAGATCTAACCCAGGTCTTCAGGCTTTATGGCAAGCCCCTGTCTGTGCTGAGCCATTTGGACAACCCACCTGTGTTGTTTTCAAGCTTCCACGTCTGTGGTTATTTGTCGCAACAGCCACAGGTAACTAATGCAGGCTGATGTGTGCAGTTAGGGAAATGGAAAAAAAAAAGTCTGTTGTGTAGCTACAGTAGGTAAAAGTCAGAGGCCAAAGGTGTGGGTATTCACAAGGCATCAAAATGTCAGCCTGAACATGCCAGTTTGCTTGGGCTCACTTGCAAAGAGGTTAGGGGTCCCCAGGAAGGACTGTGGCTTGTGGCTGGCCTATGTTTGCTGCCTAAGCCGACCTGGCCACTAGATTGGACACTGGGCTCAGAAGGGTTGGCTCTCAATGCTGCCCAGAGACTGACTGCCTCATAGACACAAGCTGTGCTGTTTGCACGCTCCGGTAGCATGATGGGACATAAAAAGCACATGTCCTTACCCAGCTCCTCACACAGCCCAGCCCAGTGAGTTCTGGCACCTTGAAGGCTACATCTGAAGAGGACTAACAGACCTCATTGTTGGTCATCGTCCAGATGGCTGCAGAGCAATGCCTCCTTGTGGGCAGCCAGACTCATCAAAAGACATGGGCAAAGAACAGAGTTCTAAGCACCCCGCAAGAACTGGTGGGCTATGTCACTGCAGAGTAACCAGGACCCTGGCCCTTAAGCTAAGGTGTGTAGGTGCCCACCCATTGGTGAGGCGCTGGCACTTCTTCCCGGGGCAGAGACACTTGTTCCTTAGCAGATCAGCTGCCCTGGGGTCATTGCACAGGTGTGACCACACCTCTTCTAAAGCAGGGCTTAGTCACAGGCGGTCATAGGCAAGTCTCTGAGAAGGGCGTTTTCAGTTCTGAAGACTCTCTGTCATATCACATAATTCTGCCTAAAGAGCTGTGAGGCGCTGCCTGCCATCATCAGGCTGCTTGTTCCGGCCCTTTCCATCTTCCTCCTTGCTGCTCTCTGGGTGGAGTGTGCTCACTGCTGGCTCGTGCCCCACCGCTCTGTGAACAGGGGTCGTGGCTGCCGGCCTGCAGAGCATCTGCGCTCGGAATGTTGCGCAGGGCCCAGCCCTGCACAAAGGTCGCCTAATTAATTAGCTGACTCCCCCAGCGTAATGACTGAGGACGGAGGCTGGAGGTCTGGGATCTGAAGGCCACATGCAGCCTGTCTCTCAGCCCACGGCTCACTGAGCTGGAAAATCTCCCAAACTAGCCAAGTGGAAGAGGCACAGAAGGAGATAAAGGGATTTTTCCACTGCGGTGGCCTGAGGGGGGTCGGTGGGAAGCTCTGCAAGAGTACATGTGATGCTCCCACAGGAGGACAGCCCCCTCTTTCCTCAGGGCACCAAGGGTCCTCTTTGGTGTCCTCGTCTGTCTCCTTGTGGCATTAACCTGGACTGCCTCTCCTGTGCCGGCCCCACCCTGCCTCTTGTCTTTCCCCACTGGCTCCCCTGGGAACAGGAAAGAAAGACTTAGGGAAAGTTGCTCCCGGCTGCCCAGTGCTTGGGTAAAAAGGTCCCAAAATGGATCTTAGCATGGCTGTAGGTTTTCCTTTGATACCTTCCTCAGAGAGAAAGGTTCTGGAACATTCTAGAACTTTAGGAGTTGTAGTACCAAAGGTAGGGCAGATGGGAACAGAGGAGGGAGAGAAAAAAGAGAATCTCTCTGAGATTTTTCGAGTCAGGCTTCATATCCCCAGGCTTCATACTGTCTGAGCCACTCACAGCCTTCAGAGGAGAAGCCTGCATGTGAACGATAAGGGTCATTCACAGTGAGCATGTGAAATACAACAACTGGAGGGACAAAGGCTTCCACAGTACAAGCTCGCCTGCCGATCACACATTTGCAAATGGCGACATCCAAACACCATGACTGTTTCTAAACATTTATCGACTACAAATACCCCACTGAGAATGTGTAACAAATGCCTGGGTACTGATACCAGTCCCCCGAGCTCCCTTTGAGTGTGTGGTATGGTATAGATCAGCTCACTTGTTCCAGGGTGGAACTCTGAAAATGTTTGGTCTTCTTCAGAGCCTGAGTCCATAGCCCAAGTGTTCCTCAGCAGACAGGAGGAAAGAAAGCTGGCCTGGCACCATAGCCGCTGATCCAGCTGTACAGCCACAGAGGCCACCACCACTGGCAGGAGGCAGAGGTGGCACTGTTGTGTTGTGGAGGACTGCCATAAAAGGGAGGAAGCCACAGGAAAACCAGAGGCAGGCTTGGTTTGAGAACTGTGGACAAAGCCCTGTCCTCCTCCTATCTTGGCCCGGAAGAGTCATCACTGTCTGTGAGCTCTGAGGCCCAGGAAGAATACCTGTGTCATGATCTCAGAGTTGTGACTCTTGTAATTTGCAAAATGGTACTGGAACTTAGGCGGACTATTTGCTATGTGGTGGATTGCCTTTCGGGTTCTCTTCTTTATTGGCCTCAGTACTTCTCAGGGAACACAGTGGGCCTCTCACAGCCTGTGTGTTCTGACACAGGTACCGGTCCACAGAGCAACTTGCTTCAGCACTTACTCATCTATGGCATCACAATTTCTCCCAATCCATAAACTGGGCAATTTATGACTCTTCAGGAACTATTTCATAGTACAGGGCTTCCCAGAGTCCATGGCATTGAACTATCAACCTTCCTTGTGCTGCGACCCTTTAATACAGTACCTCACGGTGTAGTGACCCCCAACCATAAAATTATTTCCATTGCTACTTCATAACTATAATGTTGCTACTGTTATGAACTGTAGTGTAAACATCTGTTATTCCAGATGGTCTTAGGTGACCCAAAGGAGTCGAGACCCACAGACTGAGAACAGTTTTCAGGCTTGGGCAGCAGCATCGTTGAAACCAGCTGAGGGCTTGTTACAACACGGCCTCCTGGGCTTCCAACCCCAGCAATTCCTGCTTGGTGGAGCTGGGGTTGATGGGAGACCATGTGCTCAGCAAAGTTGCAGGTGATGTCATGCTGGTCCCTGGACTATGCTTTGAGAATCTGGTGTGAAATGGATAGGATGTGTGGGCATGCTGAGTGTAGGCTTGCTCCCTGGAGTGACAGGCTAGGTGGGAAGGAAGTTTGATGGTGTATTTTCTGTCCATTCGGGGGATTTCTGATTGGCCCCTTTTACTGACAGTTTGTTTTAGAAAACCAGACTTTAAATCGGCATAGTTACGTGAGCTTTGGGGTACAGTATGTCAAGAGGCAGGTGGATCACTGTGAGTTTGAGGCCAGCCTGGTCTATAAAGTGAGTCCAGAACAGCCAAGGCTACACAGGAAAACCCTTTCTCAAAAACAAAACAAAAATCAGATCTCATACTTGCAGTATATCATGGCACAGGATATACATTACTGTTCCAAAATATAGGGAAGAGAGCACAGTGGGGAAACGCTGGACCAGAGCAAGACTGAAAACCTGAGCAAACTCCAAACTCTGCATCTCCATGTCCGACGTCAAAGCCCTCTTCAGATCTCCAGCTCCTTCCTTCTCTGTTGACAAGAACACACTTCTTTCTCTTGGGCTGATGCCACTCCCTGTCAGCAACTCTCCTCGGCAGTGATCCCACGGCTCTGGCATCACTAACATCTTGGGGTCTCCAAGGCAACCCAGGTTTCACCTTCACAGTTTCACACAGTGGCCTTTTGCAACTTCACGCAATGGCCTCTCAAGGTCTCTGCTTAGAACAACCCCTGCCACACACCTGGCCTCGGTGACTTTGGTTAGTCTCTGGGGAGGGGGGACTGGGACACTCCATGACCCATTTCTTCTTGACTGTCTAGGCATGTGGCTGAAGCTGCCAAGTTCTGCGGCTTGCTGGGACTGAAACATGGTCTCCTTGTTCTGTTACATCTTCACCAGCTTTCTGTTTTTGGTGGTTTCCTTCACTGCTGAAGCTTGGCTATCCTGAAGCTTGCTCTGTAGACTGACCTTGAACTCAGAGATCGGTATGCCTCTGTCTCCTGAGTGCTGGGATTAAAGGTATGTACCACCAGGCCTGGACCTAAGCTTTTCTTTAATTCTTTTTCAATATTGATCTTTATAAGCATGGCCACTATTTGTCAAGATCTGGATTAAACCCTTGTGTTAGTCTGAATCAGAAGCCTGTGTCATCCCCACCTCAAGATCCGTATCAAAGGCCTGCAGCCTGTTGTCCTGCAGCCTCAAGGTCCAGATCACAGATGTGCCTCCATTTCTGAATTATACTTCATTCCAGATATAGTCACATTGACAACCATGAACAGCCATCACAGTCTCCTAGGGACAATCCTGGGCTCTTCCACACCTGCCTTAGGTTTATTTCTGTTTCCGTGATAAAAACATCCTGTCAAAAGCAGCCTAGAGTAGAGAGAGTTTATTTTAGCTCACAGTTCTAGGTCCATCACTGGGGGAAAGTCAAAGTGTCAAGAACTGCCACTAGTCACATCCACAGTCAGAAGTGGGGAGGATGGGAGGGCATGTGTGCTGTGCACAGATGTTTTCTCCATTCTTACTTGACCTAGGAACCCCTGCCTGGGGGGTGCTACCCACAGTGGGAAGATCTTTCCACCTTAAAGGACACAGTCACGATAACCTCCTATAGACATTCCCAGAGGCCAACCTAACCTGTCTAGCACTGACTCTCTCTCCAGATGATGCTAGAATGTTTCAAACTAACAGTTAAACCCAGCCACAGCACCTCAAGGTTAGAACATTCCTGCCCTGGGCTCACTTTCTATAATCGTGAGCACAATCATGACCTTCTTTATGTGGCTCTCTTGAACCACACCCTCCTCCTCCTCCTCCTCAGCACCCATAATCCTTTATAACAAGCTTCACTTTTTCACCTTCAAAGCCTCATCTAATTTATTCAGTTTACCTGCCCCTCCCTCCCAGTCCTATGTGGCATAAGTGGCAGAAGGACTCCAAGCCTTGTTTTTTTTCACTGTAGTACAAAGTACCTAGGAATATGCCTGTCACTCAGTAAGCATGTTGAGTAGGTGTGCATAGCTGAGTGCACCTAATGATTTAGAGAAAAAAAAAAAAAAAGTGGAGACTCGTTCCTTATCTTACGAGGAGCCAGAAAGAAGCCTGAGCTCATTTACATCAGACCTAGTGCCAAGTTAAAGCTTCGCCTATAGGCTGGGGGAGGTCTAAGGACTATATGAGAGCCCAGCATCAGGTGTGGGGCTTTTGGAGGACCCTCCACATTATATTCTTCACCTTAGAACCTGAGATGGAGCCCATCAGAGCAGAGTGACCTGGAGGAAGACAGTAGGAAAGAAAGCAATGAATGGGGCAGGATCAGAGGATTCTGGGGAAGAGGAGGAAGCCTCCACCAGCCAGGGTGAACAACCAACTAGGCTGGAGCCGTCACTTTCCCACAACCCACCAGGATAAAACTCATGGGAAATTACAGGCACTAGAGTCACCCTCAGAAATTTGGTCCTTGTGAACCAGGTGGCACATGTCACGAAGCCTAACATCAAAGGTGGACTGGACACCTGAGATTCTATGAACCTGACTGGCCGAGGTAACTGTCGAGTCAATGTGAAGTGCTAACAGTCACCTCTTGACCAGAGGGGCCTGGTGCTAGGACAGCCAGAATGGTGGATGTTGGGCATCTATGGTCAGAAGAGCTGGAGGGGAAAGTGTGGAGAGATGGACCAAAATCCTCATGGGAGGAACAAGTAGAAGAGTTCATGGTCATGCTCTCCAGCTTCATGCTCTTCATCATGATATAGGCTTCTCACTTGCCTGTAAATGGCCAAGAATATAAACAGCCTCTCATTCATTCCTTAAAAGGTTGATAGAGTCACTAGTCCGTGTCACTCATGAAGACTCTCACATAGGGCAATGAAGTGTCCTACAGCTGGGACCTGCCAAAGCTTAAACTGCCAGCAAGATGGACTTTCCTCAATTCAACCTCTCTTAAAAAACCTGGTGCCTCTGTGACCCAGAGTTGGCCCTGACACCAGGTGGCAAGTACCAAGGACTGGAGCCAGGCTTCTAAAACTCCCAAAATAAGACCTGAGACCTCATGAAACAGCCTTTCCCACTCCGCTTTGCAACAAGTTCCTAGGCAAGGTCTGAGCCACCTCCTGTGTGTATAAGGCATCATTGAAATCATAGATATGGGGGCTTCAAAAGCTGTCTCCACCTTGCTTTCTAGGCTACCATAGGCAAACTGCTTGAATATTATGGACTAGGTTTGCTCCTCATCTTTCAAGTGTGACCAGCCATCTGGAAAGGCAGGCAGCCTCGCCCCCTTACTGGGAGTCCTTAATTTAGCATTTGGGCTAAAGGATTCTGGACCAGAGGATGTGCAGACTCTCTGAGCACGTTTGAGGGATGGTGGGAGCCTCCAGAATCCTCACTAGGATTCATTTGATTAAGCTTTTGATCCATGAGACCATGGTCCATTTCTCAACTACATCTTCTACCTCATTTAAGAGGGGACATTTTTTTGTTGTTGTTGTTTCTCTCATCCTACAAAACAACTCAACAACAACTAAACATGGGAAGGGATTGAAGTCATGGCTTGAGGATGGAATCTGAGGTTTATATAACAACCGCAGCAATAGTGATGTCACACACACACGCACACACACGCACACATATATATATATACACATGTCCATCATTAAATTCAATTCCTAAGCTTGTGAGGTTTTGTCTTTATCTTCATCTGGCACATGGAAGAGAGCCTTGATATTGGAGAGTAGTCCTGGGTTGCACAGCTAAGCAGCAGCAGTGCTGAGACTGAGAAAAGCACCTGATGCCAGCCTCTGTATTCCACACTCCTATATACACATGTCCATACACACACACATACAGACACACATACTCAGACACACACATTCATAGACATACACACATATACAAACATACACTCACACATATACATAGGCATACACATACAAGCACACAGACTCACACACAGACACATACTTACACACACCTACACTCACATGACACATCACACATTCACTTACACAGACACACACTTAGACAGGCAAAATCACACATGCTCTCTCACACACATACACACAGCATTCTTGGTAAATTAATGGATACTTTTTCTGCTCTTCTAAGCCAATGAAAATAAGTGTTAAAGAATGTTGTTGTCCTAAGGAAAATTAAAAAAAAAAATGGTATAGCCACAATGGAATTATGCATGATTGAGTAGGTCCTCAGATCTTGAAGAAAGCACTTGGCCACATTTTCTGTCTCTTCCTTGCCTGTTGTATTCCACTGCCTAAGATCCCACTATTGCCCTATTGATGAGCCATTCTTTTGGATTAAAAGACTATTGTTTTTGGAAACTTCTGTTTTCAGTTCTTCTTGCCCAAGAAGTATCTTGTTTGGTTGTGCTTCTTTGGACCACCTAACTCTCTTTCCCTAGCATTTGTCCTTCAGTTTGTGTGTGTGTGTGAGAGAGAGAGAGAGAGAGAAAGAAAGAGAGAGAGGAGATTGTAGAAATCTGAGTTGTCTCCTCTCTGTCACTCACAATCTAGTGGCTGAGATAAGAAATGGATCCAAAAAACACAATCAAGATAAAAACTGAGCACAGCTGAGCAATGGTATAGCATGCCTGTAATCCCAGCACTCTGGGAGGCAGAGGGAGGTGGATCTCTGTGAGTTCAAGACCAGCTTGGTCTACAAAGTGAGTCCAGGACAGCCAAGAATACACAAAGAAACTCTGTCTTGAAAAAAACAAAACAAAAACCCTCTACACAGAGTGACATTGGTCTCATAGCTGAGAAGTGATCCAGGGCAAAGAATCAAGTACAATTTAAGAGCCATGTTTTCGGGGATGGCTAGAGGGCAAATGCCTGTGTAAAAGAGGTGGGATCATGACATCATCCTCCACCTTTAGCTGACTCTCTTGTGAGCCACTGGCCTCAGTCTTCCCTCACTACCCAGGCAGAGGCCTCACCCAGCATCCCTGACACCTTGGTTACTGTCTGTCACCTTGCAGACAAGACAGCTAAAAGCCTGGGGGAGATCTGTGGCTAGAGAGCTCTGCCAGCTGGTGCCTCAGCACACCTCATGGGTATGCTGTGAGGAGAAGCCCTCAGAGTCTGTGCTCACAGACGCGTTGAAGTCTTGGAGAAGAGAGCCAAAGCTAGGGCAGACCTTTTATTGGTGACCTGCTAAGGAGGGAAGGTAGGTACCCTTCCGTAGCTTGTGGTGACAGCTCCTGAGTTGTGATGCGAGGTAAAGAGAATGAGGAGGTCCTGGAATAGGACAGGAGGATGGACTGGAATTCAAAGGGCCCCAGTAGCTTTGCTGTGAGATGGAAATCACATCGCATCTATTAGGGTCTACCTGGGCTGGGGGGCAGGCTCATTTCCCCAGTCCTCTCCAGATTATTGGATACCAGGGCTATGCTCTGGGTAAAGGGCCCTGAGTCTTACAAAGGGAATTAAATGTTTGTTTTGGAAATCTGTGTTTCAAAGTGAAAGGAGGCAGGGCTTCCGTCATACCTGTAAGGTCGGGCTGTATCTGTCAATACTGGGGTTGCCTTTGGCCTATGATTTTTTTCCCCTTTGAGAATCTACAATTTCTACTGATGACCCAGCAGGTTTTGTTGAGTTTAAAGAGTAGAGAGAGTATTTCTGAGTTAAAGGCAGGGACAAACTCTTATCTAGCATTTCCATCAGATAATGCTGATAAGCACTGGACAGCAAACCAAAGGAAGACTGTTTAAATAGCTATGGCAGACTTAGTTCTCTGGAGTTGCAGGAAATTATACATTTTAAAGTACACTTTGCGTATTTTTTTCTTAGTCCAGTCTTAATTATAACAGAATGTCTGAGAGTAGCTAATGTATTTTAAAAAAAACAGCAGCAACAACAGAACCAAACCAAAACAAAAAATTTATTTCTGGCTCATGGTCTAGAGTTCTCCACCTGTAAGTCGTGACCTCTTTGGGTTGAACGACCTTTTCACAGGAGTCGCCTAAGACCATCCTAAAACACAGATACGTACATTACAATTTACAACAGTAGCAAAATTACAGTTATGAAGTAGCAACAAAACAATTCTATGGCTGGGGGTCACCACACCATGAGGAACTGTCTTAAAGGCTCACAGCATCAGGAAGGTTGAGAAGCGCTGCTCTAGAGGCTGAGAAGCCACTGCTGTCTTCTGGGCCTCTGCTGTGACTTCACACCACTCATTTATAGTGAAAAAGCAGAAAGGGAAGCGGGCACCTGCAGGAAAGAGGGAGGGAGGCCGAGGAACCCACACAGCTTCTTCACATCATGCACTCTGCCAGCAAGGAACACTTTTCCTCAAGAGCAAAATGGATCCACTCACGAGGGCAGGTGCCTCTTGACACCATGGCACTGGGAACCAAGCCTCAACACGATTTTAGCGAGCCCACCTACACTCAAGCCAATAAAGCTGTGTGTGCAGAATAGTTCACACTCAAGCACCCACCCCACGCGCTGTGGTGAGAGCAGGCCAGTGGGACGAGAAGACTCGCAGTAACAAGTCCCCTGCCCACTCAGCCACACGGTGTTGTACTGCAGCTAGTCCAGTAAGCCTGAACTACTGATACCCGATTGTTTTCTCCCCTCACCACATAGCCGGGGGAGGGGGAAGGTCAGAGTAGACCTGGAAACTTGGGACTTTTCGCTACTTATCCAGGAATAACAAGATGACCACAAGGCTGCAAGGCCACGGGAGGGCTGTTGGGGTGCACCCTGCCCTTCAAAGCCAAGGGTGGTAGCAGCTGGAACCTAGTGGGAAGATCTGTATCTGCCCAGAAATAATGAGGCGCTCTCCCACACCCCCTACCTATCGCCTGTGGCAGTGGAGGTCATGGGAGAGAACTTTGAAGTTCATCACTCCCCAGCACAACACGCAGTGCTTAGCTCCCTGCGATCTTTCAGAATACTACAGTCTCTGGAACACGGAGGTAAATGATATCCAGAGCCTCGTAACAGAGTATGTATCCAAATGTCTAAGTTTCAACAAAACAGAATTGTACCCATTGTTACAAGATTGAAGACCTTCACTTGAACCAGAAAAAGAAAGAGAGAGACACACAGAGAGAGAATCCAACAGATCCCACCACAAAATGGCACCGATTGGAACTGCCTAAGACCTTGTAGTACCATTACATATGCCAATAAATCAACCGCAAAAGGGCTGTGAGTAAGCAAGCAGGCAATCTAGAAGTGCTCATCTCAGATCTGGAGAGATGGCTCAGTCGGTAAGAGCACTGACTATGTAACACATGAGGATCAGAGTTCAGATCCCAGCACCCACCTGAAAGGCCAGGGGTGGCTTCACAGGTGTGTTTGTAACCCCAGCGTTGTAGGGAGCGGAGACAGGAGGATTGCTGAGGCTTGCTGGCTGCCAGCCTAGCTCAAGCCTCAGTGAGAGACTTTCTCAAAGAATAGGGCAGAGAGTGGTAGAGCAGGGCACCAGGCTTCAGTGTTTCTCTTCTTCCCTCATACAGGCAGGACACTCACACACATGTGTATATATATACTGCCCACACATACACATGCACGTATGAAATTATCAACACAGAAGTAGAAATTTTTAGTAAATAGAGTATTTAAAGAGGAACCAAATGGAAATTTTAGAGCTGAAAAAAACCACAGTTGGGTAGAATGATCCTTTCATATCACATACCTGCTTGCCACAAATTCACATTACGATTGATAACAGTAGCAAGATTGCAATCATGAAGTAACAACAGAAACAGTTTCATGGCTGGGGGGTCACCACAACACGAGGAACTGTATTAAAGGGTCACAGCATTAGGAGGGTTGAGAACCATTGTTCCAAAAGAACGCCGTTGACCTAAAATTCCATATCCAGTGAAACTATCAGCACTGAAGAACAAGCAAGACTTCTCAGCGGAAGGAAAGCAAAGATCATTTGTCGCCTAGAGACAAACGCTAAAGAATAGCTGAAGGAAGTTTTCCAAACACAGAGAAGGATGAAAGATACCTCATTAAGATAGCTGATAGAAAAGTGGTAAGACCAAATCTGATGAAGATAGGAAAATGGATCCTTTACACGTTACTGAAGCAAGTGTGAAATGGAACAGCTATTTTATTTTTATTTATTATTATTATTATTATTTGAGACAGGGTATTGCTGTGTAACAAAGCCCTGGCTGTTCTGGACTCACTCTGTAGACCAGGCTGGCCTCGAATTCATAGGGATATGCCTGCCTCTGCCTCTTGTGTGCTGGGATCAAAGGTGTATGCCGCCATGGCTGGCTGACACAGCGATTTTTTTCCCCTTTGGTTTTTCTTCGAGACAGGGTTTCTCTGTGGAGCCTTGGCTGTCCTGGGCTCACTTTATAGACCAGGCTGGCCTCAAACTCACAGTGATCCACCTGTCTCTGCCTCCCTGAGTGCTGGAATTAAAGGCATGCCCCACCACGCCGGTGCTATTTTTTAATTAATTGAAATTGCTTTATTCTAATGAACTCACAACGAAAAACACCACAAAGCTAGATTACAGAAACCACCCAAACAGTTGCCCAGTTCCGCACTCTGCATCTCAGTGAACTCTCTGTACAGACAGCATGGCCATTCTGAGGAAATGAATCTTTTGCTCAGGACAAAAATGTAAGGAAAAAGTACCCTCATAAAGATTGTTTAGTTAAAAAAAAAAAAAAGCAAAACCAAAACAAAACCTACAACTACATGACCCAGAAACTTCAGTCTTGGGAATTTACGCACAAAACCAAGGCAGTGTACATGATCATTGGTTTATTTTTATGCATATGAGTGCTCTGACTGCATGTACACCTGCATAACAGAAGAGGGCATCAGATGGCTGTAAGCTACCTTGTGGTTGCTGGGAACTGAACTCAGGACCTCTGGGAGAACAGGCAGTGCTCTTAACTATGGAGCCATCTCTCCAGCCCACACATGATTATTTATAATCTGTTTATTTGTGCCAGCTCCAGAAAAGTAACTAAAATGTATCTCTTAAATATCTCAATAAGTGAATGAACAAATACACTGTAATATATTTAAACCAAGGGGGCTAGTGTGTCACACCCCTTTAATCTCAGCATCTGGGAGGCAGAGGCAGGCAGATCTCTGTGAGTTCGAAGCCAGCCTGGTCTACAGAGTGAATTCCAGGACAACCAGGGCTATGCAGAGAAATCCTGTCTCAAAGAAGCAAGCAAACAAATCAAATCAAATCAAATCAAACCATGGAAATACTAATTACCAATAATAAAATGAGCGATTAACTCAAAGATTTGGATGGACCCCAAAGTCAACCTCAAACACAAGAGAGACATTTGTGGTGGATCTGTATCTTGACTGTTACAGGTATA